TCACGAGCTTAACTACCCTACTCATGATCTGGAGTTAACGGTAGTTGTGTTTGCCTTGAAGTGTTGGAGACATTATTTGTATGGTGAGAGATTCGAAGTATACTCGGATCATAAAAGTCTCAAGTACCTTTTTTCCCAAAAGGACTTGAACAACAGACAGAGACGATGGGTTGAGTACTTGGAAGATTACAACTTTGATTTGCAGTATCATCCGGGCAAGGCAAATGTTGTAGCTGATGCCTTAAGCCGAAAATCTCGTGGAACTTTGGCCAGTTTAGCTATTCGGAAGTGGAAGATGCTTGAAGATCTGGAAGAGATGGGATTACAGTGTTTTGATGATGATGGTTACAGTGAGTCGGCATTCTTATTTAGTCTTGTGGCTCAGCCTACTCTTGTTGTACGAGTGATTGAGTCACAGAGACAGGACCCGGACTTAGATGCCATCCACGCTTTGATCTCTAGTGGTGAGACAGTGAAAGATTGGGCCTTGCATGCAGATGGGGGTCTACGGTTCAGGGGTTTGTTGGTGGTTCCCACAGTTTGTCGTGAGGATGTCCTACGGGAATTTCACACTTCCCGTTTTGCAGTTCATCCAGGTGGTACCAAGATGTATCACAATTTGAGACGTCAGTATTGGTGGAACGGGATGAAGAAAGATGTTGCACAGTTTGTGGCTAGATGCCTTACCTGTCAGCAGGTGAAGGCCGAACATCAGAGGCCAGCAGGTTTGTTGCAACCATTACCTGTAGCGCAATGGAAATGGGAGCATATTGCTATGGATTTTGTGACAGGTCTTCCAAGGTCAAGAAGGGGCAATGAGGCCATATGGGTCATCATTGACAAATTAACCAAGACGGCTCAATTTTTGCCTATTAAGGCAACAGATGATGCAGAGAAGCTTGGTGTTCTTTATGTGAAGGAGATTGTAAGGTTGCATGGAGTTCCTGTAACCATTGTGTCAGATAGGGATGCTAAGTTCACTTCGAAGTTCTGGGAAGGACTTCAAGTAGCGTTTGGTTCAGCGTTGCATCTTAGTACGGCATTTCATCCACAGACGGACGGTCAGTCGGAGCGTACTATCCAGATTTTGGAGGATATGCTTCGGGCATGTGTACTTGATTTGGGAGGTAGTTGGGAGGATCACCTTCCACTTATTGAATTTGCCTACAACAACAGTTATCAGGCGAGCATCCAGATGGCTCCATTTGAGGCGTTGTATGGTAGACCTTGTAGGTCTCCTGTTTGTTGGACTGAGGTAGGCGAGACAGCCGCCTTAGGACCCGACATTGTACTCGAGACTACTGAGAAGATTAAGTTGATAAGACAGAGGTTACTTACAGCTTAGAGCCGACAGAAGAGCTATGCGGATAAGCGAAGACAACCGTTATCCTTTGAGGTGGGAGACCACGTTTTTCTACGGGTTTCTCCACGGAAGGGATTGATGAGATTCGGGAAAAGTGGCAAGTTGTCGCCACGATTTATTGGACCATTCGAGATTTTGGATCGGGTAGGAGAGGTTGCCTACAGACTTGCTTTACCACCACAGATGGACAGAGTTCACAATGTCTTTCATGTATCGATGTTACGAAAGTACGAGCCGGATCCATCTCACATTTTGAGTTGGGTTGATGTGGATATTGATGAGGATGTTTCCTACGAGGAAGGACCAGTTCAGATTCTTGACACACAACAGAAGGTGTTGAGGAACAATACGATACCAATGGTGAAAGTCCTTTGGAGACACCACGGAGTCGAGGAAGCTACTTGGGAGCTTGAACAGGAGGTTCGCTCCAAGTATCCAAAATTGTTTTCTTCCTCAGGTATGTCTTGATTTCGGGTACGAAATCTTTTAAAGTTGGGGAGAGTGTAATGTTTGTGCCTTTATATATATATATATGTCTGTGTGTGTGATGTACATTGAGTAAAAAAAAAAAAAAAAAAAAAGAGAAAGCAAATTAAAATTTTGGTGGGACCCACCACCACACCTAAAAAGGGTTTGAGACCACAATTGGTCTCCATTTTTTTTCTCTCCCGCTGGCCCTTCCTTCTGTCTCTGTTTCTTGAATTTTTTCTTTTTCTTTTTGAACTCAAACTTCATTCTTAGATTACTCCTCCACCTTTTGTCGGATTGAGGTGCCGTTTAAGGCAAAACGAAGCTTGTGTCGAGCTCTACGCATACATACCAACAATTCCAGATTTGGTGCACCCTTTGAACTTCGAAATTTAGGACCCATTTTCTAGGGTTTGCTCATTTTTGAAGTAGGGGCATCTTAATCCACTCTAGTCTTGTTCTATTGTGAATTTTACCTCCATGTTGTATTAAATATGCTTAATTTAGAGTTAATTATATCTATGATGGTATTAATGATGTCTAGAGGGTTTTCACGATCTTGAATATGGTTGGTTCATGTGCAAATTATATTTAGTTGTTGATTTCCTATGTTTACTATGTGCTAGCATGCTGAAATTGATGTATGAGAGTATGCTTATTTAAATTGCGCCAAATTTCCCAATTCATGATGTTGAGCTCATATATATATATATATACATGCACATGCTTAAATGTATTTTGTTGTATCTTAATGTGTTAATAATTACTTGGGAGACGTTGAACATGTTGAATGTTTAATTTTATGATGGAAAATCCATGACATTGAATGTATGGAACATATATACATGCACATACCATTGGGTTTGCATGAAATGGGCGAAATTGTTCTTGAAATAAATATGGGGAATTTCAGGGAAGTGTTTTTGATAAAATGGTTTTATGCGAAACCCGGTCGCTGCGGGGTTACCAACGGGCCGGAGGTTAATATAGCCTAGAGGGGACTAGGGAGTCGCCCTAGCGTGGTTGAGCTAGCTGGGCCCCATAATGACGCCGCGGGGTTACCAAGGGTCAGGGACACTAGCCAATCCTCCTCTCGTGTCACGGCGGGGTTACCAAAGGGCGGGCTATATTAACGTTTGAAAGTGATGGTTTTGAGAATGAAAATGGGGAGTGTCATTGACATGCATTGCATTTCATTGCATTGCATTGCATTGTTTATAATTGGAATTGAATTGTATGTTGTATTTGATCCCCTACATTGTATGATCCCTATCTCCCATTGGCCTATGCTTTGCTTGAATTCACAAGGACACAAGATTTGTGTCTTAAGTGTCACCTACTGAGCATATAGCTCACCCTACTATTTATACATTTTTTTCAGGTCTTGGAAAAGAACCGGTGAACGACAACCCACCTCAAGCTTGAGCGATACTAGAAGCTCACTTTTGTGTCTTTTGTATATCTCCCATTATTTTTGCAAAGTACTAAAAGTGTGAAGGTGTATATGTATATTTTGCAAAAACTTTGTCATGTAATGTAATTAAGGTATTTGATGATATTTTGGATGTGAATTTGTTATCATGTAAACCTTATTGATGAATGGGGAGAGTAATACTAGTTTGAAGTATTATTGAGATCATTTGATTGTGTATCATCATCTTCTATTGCCGTGAATTCAGAATTTGAGCCATGATAGGTTAAAAAAAAATGAATTTAAACAGGTTGCGGTAGGTCCATTTTTAGGGGAGGTTATGCCGAATTTTTTGTAAAATTCTTGGCATCAGCTAGGGTCGTTGCAATATACCCGCCTGCTATAATATATATACTATTTTTTTTTTTTTTTCACGTATATGTGAAAAAATTCATTTAATGCCCCCCTAAAATTTTTATTTTCTAAAATTATCTCTTAAGTTTTTATTTATTTTCTCTTTTACTCTTTAAATTCATTTAATTTCGTTAAAAAAAAGTTAAAATTTCCTTTTTGAATCAAACTCTAATTTTTTTTTTCTTTCAAAGTTCTTTCTTTTTTCTATTTTTCAACTATTTATCTTTCTTATGTTACATATTATTTTGCAATATTTTTTTCTTTTTACCTCTTGATTTGAAGAATTTATATTTGTTATCGTGTTTATTGAATTTTTTTTTTTTTTACACTGTGCTCCTGAATTTAATTTCTGGCACTGTCCCTATAAGCAACTCAACTACTCCGATAACATGACACTTGCTCTAAAAGTTCAATTAGAAAAGGCTTTATTTATTTTTATATATTTTTATAATTGTTTAGAAAATATTTTTCTATTTTATAAATTATTGAAAGAAAAAATATCAAAAATTTGAATCAAAATGTCCATCTTTTTTCCGTAATTCCTTATACCTTTCGAATTTTTAAAGCAAGGAACGCAAGTAAATTATAACGCTCTCCTCTTGTGGTTCAACATACACCCGACATTAATAAGTTGATATCATATAAATATTACGTGAATTTGTTTATCTGTTACTTTTGTATCTTCCGAAATCGAAGACAAAAGTTACATCAAAATAAAAAATTCTTTTTACTGAAGTGAACACAATTTAGTTATTTTTATTTTGCATCCATGATAATCAGTCTTTTTAGTTCACAAGGATTGCATTACTCTACCAAATCATTCAATTTCAACTTAGAAGTAGGATTCTTTTGATTCTCATTCTTGTTTGGAGTTAGAGGTGGGTTTAGAAAGATCAGATTGATTAGGACAAAAAAAAAATAGACACAAAAAACAAAAAATTACACATTGAACACATATTTTAACCCTTATTTCAAAGGGGTCATAACATGGTTATTAACAAATAAAGATTTTTCACACATTGGATTCCTATTTAAGATCCAATTCGATATTTGAATTTGAATCTTTCCCAACCTCTCCATTTCCTTTCCATAACTCATTTCTGAATCTTTTCTTCTGTTTACACCTCTTCTCCTCTCCTTCATTCCCTCCTCTTTTCTTCTTTAAATTATGAACCAAACAGTAATAAATGCCCAAGATCCAGCTTAATCCTTTTTAGGGTTATGAATATAAATAGGCCATCTAATAATAAAAACATGTTCTGCACATCTTTGAACCTTGACATTTCACCAGCCACCAGAAGAAAAGCAGTTCTAAAGGAAAGAGTGAAAATGAGAGTTCCCTGATGCATGTCAAATTAAACCAGTCTATTTTATTTCCATAATCTTTGTAGTTTACGAATATAAAAGTTTCATTAATCTGATAACTTATAAGCCACCAAAAATGCATATCAAAGCTGTAACATGTTGAATGGCACACATTTGGGTTAAATGCGCTATACACTGTTTACCACAGCTCCAGCAAAAATTTAACAGAAAAATGTTTTGAGGTTAGAGATTATTCAATCCTTGTGCGAGTAGGTATCCACTGGAAGGAACTTTGCATATCGATCGGCCTTTGCTCCTGTTTTGTGGTCGTAGTATTCTACCACTGCAGCTCCTGCTAATGCAGCCAACGTGAGAGCCTGCGCGTGCAGCCTGGATTTAATTCAAGAGGGAAAGAATTAGAAATGAATGTGTAAGTTGAAACATAAAGAGAGAACGTAAAAGAGATGGAAGAAATCATCGACATATATATCCAATGAGGCACTTAAGCTGGGAAGAAGAAATCAGAACGATATACCATTTAAAAACCTTTTCCAGTGAATTAGGAAGCAGGTACAAGTACAACAAAGACCCATGTAACAGGAATTTATGTTAATTGAGTGTTTTTTTTCAAAGATCAGGTGTAAATAATTCCTTCACGTGTGTTTGTGGAGAGAGAAGGGTTGGGGTTTAGTGCTTACACGTCTATACGGAAAGTAGTGAAGCCTAACTTCTGCCCAATTTCGCTTAGTCAGACATTAAAAAAGCCAAGGAAACTCTTTTCTTTTTTTACAGGAACACAGAACAAAAGATTTATTATATTGGTACAACAAAGATCTGTGTCTCCAAAATACGTACATAAAAAACCAAAGCCTGCAAAACCATTTAACATAATACTGCAGCATAACTTTTAGGATGCATATAGTCCCTATAGATATCTACTAGCCTACCGATTTCAAGTTAAACTGTTTTTTTTTTTTTTCTTTTCTTACAACCAATTTATTTGATAAATCTGGACACTATGACTTCTATGCTAATGAAAGGACAAGAAAATTATGTAAATAATTTCCTTAGCAAAAAGACAAATGGGTCAGTGTGCCTTTCAAAAATTGGAGGTTACAGGATTAATTAAACAATGAAAGGAATTTTTCGCATGTAGTTATATTGTAAAGACTTGCTCTTTTTCTTCTAATAAGATTGTAAGAACAACTCCAATAGTCATGGTAAAAAAAGATTTGAGACAGGATTATGAAATCCATTGAATCCAACAATAGTTATACATCATCCTCTACTCTCTTCCAATAAAATAAATAAATAAATAATTGATTCAAGCATTCAAAACTCTCAAAACTTCTCCTTTTGTGAGAATTGGAATCACCAAAAGTTACCAAAAACATCAAACTAAAACAAAATCATGACAGATGGGTTGACATTGAACTAGATTTTAGAAATTTGAAAACACAAAGAATAGGTGAAGGAACAATAAAAGTGCTGCTGGAGTGTTATGTGAACGCAAAATTCCCATCAAATTGAAGGAAAATATATATAAGCCAACTATAAATTCAGCCATGTTGTATGGACCAAAATGTTGGGTAGTTAAGAAACAAGTACATAAGATTAATGTAACAGATATGAGGATCATAAGATGGAAGAGTCCCTTACAACAACATGAAAACATTTGTGATAAATTAGAAGTAACAAGCATTGAAAAATGAAAAAAAGGAGTTTAAGGTGTTTGACCATGTGCAACAAAGATCACCTAACATATCACTACTAGGTACTGACTTGATCTAAGTTGAAGGTGCAAAATGACATCAGGAAGGTAAAAATGTACATGAGTAAAGATAATAAAGGATCTAATTGCATTTGACAAACCAAGAATGTGATTTATGATTTATGGAGATGATCCCATGTAGTTGAGATTAGGGCTTCTCAACTAGAGCCAAACTGTTTATAGTATATATTTTCCTTGAGAGGTAAGAGACATTTAGTATGAGATGTTATGAACTAATGTTTTCCTCAAGTTGTTAGGTTTTTCAAGTTGGCCCTTCGACCATATCTTAAATTTATTTTTTCCTCTTTCCTTTTTTCGAATCAAAGGGTCATGACTCATAAGTCTATTTCGTGATAATCAATCCGAAAGTTGTACTGGTAGTAACTTGGTGTTTTAAAATAGGACTAAAATATTAAAAAAATAAGTTGAAATCTGCAGTCACTTTATTAACAATATGGCGCCAAACAAGAAGATTGCAATGCCAATTCCAGAGAACAACTTGTTGGACACCATTGACAAGATTTTTGGTTATAATTGGTTTCATGAAATTTGTAATAAGATATGAATATACGATAAGCTTGAATGAAATTATAGAAATCATTTTGTCTAATAGTAAGGGTACAAGCAAGCTTTTACCCTCCGGGTAAATAATAGAGGGAGAGTCAGCTATAATTACCAAGAAACTCATGTTACTTAATCTCTTGACCTCTCATCTTAACTCCTCTACAAACAAGAACAATGAAACATGCCACATCACTAAATTCCTTATATAAAGAGATGAATGGAAAATTTGCATTACTAGTATCTCTGTTCTTACCGTGAAACTGAACATTGAAAATTTTCATTATTTTAGGAATTATTTGCCTTGAAATATCAATTATGAGATTGCAAATTAGATGACCAAATTCCCCAAGTTCGACAACAATTAAAATTCCAAGTTTGTAATCTAACTAATCAATATAACCTTTAATTAGTTTATGCCATTATTGTTGTCATAGCTTAGATCATCGATCCATTGCTTTGCATGAATAGAAGAAATTAATGAGTCAATTGAAAGAGCACGGTGGACCACTAGAATTGAAGATTAAAAGAGTACCTCGAGTGGGAGAGAGTGGAAATCAATTTATCCCTCAACAAAGCCTTTTTCCCAATTATTTGGGATTGGCTACATCAATCTTGTGATAAAAATTCTAAATTAACGGGATCACACTTGATAATAACCCTATTTACATAAACCACATTTTGTCATTCTGCGGTATCTAGGGCCACAACCTCAATCAAGCCACATGCTATCATATATTTTCTTACAATCTCAACACATTTTAATTTGTCTTCCTCTTCTCCTAACATTACCTTCAATGTGGACTACATCTCTCTTCCTTACTGGTTCATTTACACATGGTCAAACTATCTTCTTCCATTCTTTCATGTTATCTCCATTCACAATTGTTTTCACAATCCGCAAATCATCCATACTCAACCACAATAAATCAAACACATGTCCACTAATCAATTAATCCACCTAGGCCTCCAATAGCCCTGATCTGGGAAAAAGAAGGGCAATAGGAAGGAAACAAAACCTACCCTGATCTGCATACTAGGATAATGGAACTTAATGAGAAACCATGTATTTAATTCTTCTCATTATAAAAACTCCAACACGACATAAATAAATTAACCTCTAAAATTTAAGGTTCAAAATATGCAATATAGCCAGAACCAATTTTCTTGGGTAAGACCGTAAGAAGAACCTCTTAAACCAATATCCTCGATGTAAACAGATGGGAAAAATAAAAGGAACGGAAACCTTTTTCTTTTCTTTTTTTCTGTTCATCTAAATGGGAGTAAATAATTTGTTGACAATTTATCCCTACTTCATGAAAATTTAAAATAAAGAAAAGAAAAGAGAATTTTGGATTAAAATGTAAACAAGGAGAATCTTCTTTGAGTTGAATTCAGTCCAATCATTTTCAGGTATAATTCAGTAGATACAATGAAATTTAAGTTTTCCACATTGCTTTTCCATTTATTCACTGTCCATTCCAACTTGGTGCATATAAAAAAATAAAAAAAATTCCTACCCTTAGCCCAATAATTTGCTAGTCAAACAAGTATTAAGGTACCAAAAGCTTTCTGCCATTAATTGATAGATCACCGAGAGGTTACCTTCCAGAGAAATAGATTTTGGAGTTGAATTTCAAAATATATAGGAGGGGAGGAGAGAAAAGAGGCAAGAAAGATATCCAACTACAATCCTTCATAAGATGGGTTTAGAATAGCTCCCTCTTCCCCTTTGATATATAACAAATCCACAAAATAATATTCTCAAAACCAGTCACGAATTTTGTTGCAATCTAAATCTAAGTTATAATTCTTAGATGATTAATTCAAATTCATCCATTTAAAATGCGATTAGTCAAATATAAATGTAAACTGAACATCAATGAAAGAGTACACCTTGAATATCAAAGAGATCAACAATATATATATATATATATATATATATATATATATATATATATATTAAAAAAAGTTATAAAGAAGAAAATGGGAAAAATACCTAGCGTGAATAATTTTGACGCTGGTTTTCATGCCGGGTTGAGACCAATTGTAAGCGATTGATCCCGCTATTCCACTTAGCCACAGACACCCTTTTAGCAATCAAATCAAATATAGATCCAATCAACAACCAACAATCAACGCAAAAACACACACAAATATACATATGTATATATAGCGATATACAAATGTGTAGTATTTAAAAGAAAATTAATAAATTAGATGGAGGAAATTACCAACAGTACGAAGCTTATGGTCGACGACCCATTCCCTGACAGATTCCACTGTGGTCTTAGCCTTAGAATCCGCCATCCTTTTTTTGTTGCAGAAGAGAAGAGAGAATCTAGAGAGAGAAATTAATACAAGACACAGAGAGAGAGAGGGGCACGAAATGAGCTAATGCGGGTTGAGGCTTTTTTATGCGTGACTTTTCCGGCGGCGTGGAGGGAAAGACAACGCGAACCGACTTCGTGGTATCCTTCAAAACTGTGGGCTGTCACGTGCGTGTTTTCACCACTAGAAAACTTTGAATTTTGCTCTTACTTTATACTAACATATTCCTCCGAGTCGATGCTCGTGTCCATTTTTATCTTTTAAAAGGTACAAAATGTGAATTTTCACATTTACATAAATATGTATGTTCATTGTATTTTTAGCCAGGCTAATTTAGGGTCTGTTTGCCGATCATTTTTATTTTGGATTTTTTTTCTTTTTTTTTTTTTTAAGCATGTCTAGTAATATAAAATTTATTATAAGATTTTTAGAAGTAAGAATATATAAATATGTTTCCCAGTAATTCTGAAAACAAATAAATATGTTTCCCAGTAATTCTGAAAACAACCGATGGGCGTCTTGATCAGTTTGAGCGGTCAATATAGACCCCATATGAGACTTCAAATTCCTACCCCCCAATCTAGTCAAATAAGAATGGCTAAATGGATTGCGTGGTCAACGTAGACCACAAATGGTCAAAAGACTAGGTATGCACAGTATATATCTTTTTATATTAGATATAAATATAAACTATAATTTATATATCTACTTGCGTTAAAACAAGCATAAAACTTTAATTTATTTAAAATTTAAAATTATATGTTGAGCAGATATCAAGGTGTCTTGGTCAGAAATATTAAAATTTATTTTAAAATAAGTAGACACAGCTAAATGCACCTTGTTCAGTCCTGGGCTCAAACACGGCCTAGCTTAGCCTGGTTATGTTTAGGTGAAGCACCGCTTGTAACTAAAAAAAGCATGAGTTTGTTAATACCTCAAGAAAATAAGGATATATTATTAACAAGCAGCTGCATTTTCTAATTTTACATTTGGCATATCGCCCCTTTTATCAACAGCTGCTCCAATCTGTAAACTAAAAGAAAATCAAAGTGAAAAATACTTGAAACTCGACATAAGATAACATTTATCACCATTTTCCTCAACCTCCAAATGTTTAATTATAATAGAGGTATTCGGGTCACAAGTGTCGGACACAAGAGTCCAATTTGCCAGAAAGCCTCTAACTTCTGCCATCCCACATATGATTTTATTTATATCCCAAGGCAATGAAACTAGAGGAGGAAGCCAAAAAGTCCATCGCAAAACCAAGTGGCTGCCAAAAGCATGATTTCAGGGCAACGCCACACTACGAGTCTGCCATTGCAGGACAGACTCCAAGCATCATTAATATATCGTTTCTCAAACACATACATAATTTTGGGTTTCAGTCAGTTTTTGAGTAGTTTACTTCACCAAAACAGTATAGCGGAGAAGTCTACGATGGATTCTGTGATGGCATCCTCTCAGATCCATGCCTCGGGCGAAACCCACTGGATCTGGTGGCAGTATCTGAACCACCAGAAGCTTGATGGAATGGTGCCCAACCTGAATCTCTATCACCTTGGCTCATCAGGAATGAAGGCAAGTGTTCTCTTTCCCATCCATGGTACCGATTTGGCAGGGAATTTTCGGCTTCTTGGTAGTTTCGACCAGATGAACCTGATGGGAAGAAGTAAAAGCCACCAGTCTGATCAGATGATGAGGCAACTGGCCCAACTTGAGCCATGCCCCTATGACTGCTGGATCTTCGTGTGCCAGAAACAACGGGTGTGCGTATGGCTGGTGAATTGCTCGGCTGCTGAAAATATGCCTGCAGAGCCTGGACACGATCACGGGCCCGAGCAACACTGCCTGGATATGGAGGAATCATTGAGGAGGCGACTGAGCTCCCAGCTCTAGCAGCAGAACTGCAAGTGTGCATGTAAATTCAACATTATAATGATTTTACAGGGAAAACAATGTAAAGGAAAATAAATTGGGGGTAAAAATAAATGTGGCAAACTCCAAGTCTTTCTCCACTCTTTTAGTAAGTGGTGGTGGTGGTGGTTTAAATGCATTTTAGTGTTGTATAGGTCCTTAATGGTACATTTTCTCGCTCGACCTCAGCTTTATGTGCAAGAAATTAAAAAGAATAAAAGTAGTTTCTTACTTGGAGAAAGGATTATTTCAATCCTCTTCTGCACAAAAGAGTTACATTAATATACATATTTATATATTAGCCACGCCAAAGTGTATTTATCAAAGCCCATCTCACATTTTAAGCATAACAGAAAGGTAAAAACACTGCAAAACACAACCTATTGATTTGCCAAGGGATTACCTGTGGCCAGAGACAAATGGATGCATAAAAGATCCGGATCTTGATATATCAGAATTGGCCCTAGCTGTTCTGTGTGTCATAGATGGAACTGAAGGCTGGTCGTTACCACCAATACGGCTGCTAGTCGTAGGGAAGGGAGAGGAATGGTTTTCCCAACTGTGATAATGGAGATCCATTGCAGGAAACGCATAAGATGCGGGCATCTCACCGGCAACTGATGGGCCATTCCAGTGATTGTTATAATTAGAACCATCTGATACACTTCCACCAGAATTTGAGGATGAAGGGTGGATTGGTCCAAAATATGCAATATATGGGCAAGGATGAGCAGCAGATGATACGGCTGTATGTTCAGCATAAATAGCATGTTGTCCAAGAAGATCATGATCTGCATAAAATAAATAATTCCTATTATGTTTGGGCCATAATACCTCCCTCTGCTTAAACTTTAGCGAGAAAATCACTAATTAAGCCCAAAAAAACAAAAACTTACATGCAGTTGATGAAAATTCCCCTTCGCTGCAAAAATGTAAACAATAACATGTTAGACATAGAAAGTGTATTGGAGCAGTACATGAAAAACAATGCAATAAAACCAAAACGCTGGAAGGGCCCATCAGTTTACAACAACAATAAAACAACTGGTCTGGCCTCCATATACTCTTGTTGGAGACGATTAGCATGGTTGTGGCACAGTATGGTTCCAAGCTCTCTTGCACATTACTCAGAAAAGGCTTTCTAATCTTCTTTTAATCTATAACTAAAGCACCATCCCACAAGCTTAATGAGATCTTCCACCATATTGCCAAAAAAAAATACAGAAAAGGAAAAACTACTTGGCCAACAATGAGTAAGTGCAATCAACCCACTCAACTAAACATGAAGGCTTGGACTTGGCTCAACTAATATAAAAACTGAACCTTAGTTACTGTAAGCATTCAATATACTTGACAGCGAGAGTTGAAAGAACATTTGTTTGGTGAGGAGAAAAGAATTAATTGGACCCCCAATTATAGTTTTAACATCTTTTTTATAATTCCACTTGTTTAAAAAAATGAACAAACAATCAAACTAACGAGAGTGTTGAACAAAAGGTCATTTGACCATCCTCTTTTTAAAAGGCCAAATTGGGCTCTTCACATGCCTGAACCAAACCTCCTTTAATTTCAAATCAACTCAATTTCTGGGCCACAAACAGGCCTTATTGCGCTCAATTTCTGGGCCACGATCAGGCCTTATTGTGCTGGGCTTTCAGACAGGGTTCAGCTTCAAGACTAGGCACCAAGCCCATCCAATGCCTTTCGGGCCAGGCCCACCCAGTTGCCATGGGCTCCCTTAAATCCCAACTTGCTCTGCATTTAAATACAAAGAAAATGATCTTTTCCCCATTGCCACTGCATACTTGATAAAATTCTTTGACATTTGCTGCTCTCAAATAAACTAAGTGATCTCATGTAATTACGGAGTGAATCCTTGTTCAGTTAGATAAGAATTAAACCGATAAAGCGGGTCCATTGATGAGAGAGAGCTAGAGAAAGCTTGAACCCAATTCCTACAGTGACGATAAATATGAGCGCAACTGAAATTCTAGAAAAGTATACATTCATGCACTGAAGGACCATTCACTATTTCTTGAAGAATAATCTCTTCCCAAATATAAAAATTTTCAGCTTATCAGAATGTCCCTACAGTTTATGACATTTTATATATAAAATCCAAGTGGCCTGAAATTGGGACATTCGTGCTTTGAAAAGTTTCAATCCTGATATAAAAGCCTTCTTATTTTATATAAGGTGTTTCAGCATACACCACTATTGTATTCGTAACCTAGCCCATGGCATATTGACCAAAGATTTTTCAGTTTCAAGAAAATTTTGTAGTAAAGTTACAACCCCTCTATCAGCAGTTTCTAGCAACTTCAACTCCAACTTCAACACATAATATAGATACTAAAAATTCATACTTTTAGCACAAAAACATCTTCAGGGAACCATGCCATTCCTAATTTTCTCCCGAATATGTACATTACTAATAATGTCTATTCTAATTATTCCCATCATCCATCTCAACATTCTCATTTCGGTACCATGAATTTGTTGTTCGCAGTTCTTTTTCAATGCTCAACGTTCTGCTCAATCCTATAAAATTTTCCTTTTAACCTAATTGATATCCAGTTATCACACAAAATAGCACTAACTTACCTCCAACATTTGTCCACTCTATTCCAACCCTATCTACTACATCTTTAGGGATGTCAATTTAACTAGCCCCATGCAGCTCTACCCCTAATGAAACAGATTGGTACCTTTTAATTGGGCTAGGGGCGGGTTTGGAAAAAGAGTTAGAACCCAAACCCGCCTTGATTAGTAATATATATATATATATATATATAAATGCATGTTATATTATTTAGTTACAACCTTTTTCTTGTTATTGATTTTCAAGATTATTACTATCAAGTATTTGTATTAAATTAATTTTTTCAAAAAATTAATCATAAATTTATTCAAGATACATTTTTTAATAAAAAAAAGTGTGTATAATGGGGCAACCCAGACTCACCCCAATCCGATGTGTGGTAGGAATTTCGGATAGGATTGACCAGCACCGTTATTATCCCTGATTGATCACCTACATCCCCATCATTTCGTATTATTGATCCCAAATACCTAGAATGGGTAATTTGAATAATTCTTTGACATTGAATGTTTATTAGTACATGTATCAGTATCTAAATTTACCAAATCCATTCAATTGCAAGAATGAGAACTATTAAGTTTCCATTCCATATATTCTGTTTTAGTTCTATTAATTTAAACCTGACTCTAATATGTTTCTCCATGTTTCTATCTAATATTACTTACTACTATTAAAACTATGTCAGCAGCAAACGTCATTATACCCCATGACAGACAGTGTGAGAGCAAAATGAAGTGCTAGCAGCTTCTACATTTAGTGTAGTAATAACATATAGAATTAATTGCTCTTGAGAAAAAAACAATTGCATAAAGGGTTTTAAAAGATTCATTGGTGGAAGTGAGACAAAAAATAAGTAGTAGTAGTTATAGAATGCATGATTTCCAAAGCAAAGAAGCATACATATCAACTTGAATTATTTAAAGATATACTGGGTGAATTGAACAAAATGGCAGATAGAAATTCAGAATAAATATGCTACAATTCAGTAAACATCCACAAGCTAACAGAGTGATAGCAAAGAACAAAAGGAATGGCAAAGAAAAGAAGTGCTAAAACCCACAACGTTTTAAAATGAAGATATATTAACTGATGCATAAGCCAAGATGCGCAAATTCATGCTTACTCAAAAGATGAAGGGAGTCGCGTTAATCCACTAAAAGGACACCAGTGAACTCCAAATGACTGCACATTTAGAAACAAGAACAAAATTATGGATCTCAGTAAAATCCAATCAAACTAAATTCTTGAGCATATTTACATGAAAACAACAACTTAATTGGTTAGCCAGAAATAAATATCGAGTTCTTGTCAGCTTGAACTATCATCACACTAATATAACGTTAATATAAAACCAAATTATGCAATCATCACATTACAGCTTGAACTATCTTCTGATAAACATAAAAACAAAGATATGCCCCAGATTTGAACAAAAATGTTGCAAGAATTGGGAGCAAAGGATACAATCAATAAAAAATTATTATCATCAAGACGTAATTCAGTCTGTCACAACATGACTGGGTAAATGCAACTAAAATAGCATATCTGTGAGATATAAGCAAGTATATGTTATTTAAAGTCAAATGTTAAAATCTATCATAACAAAACAAATATCATGTTCACTTTCTCATTCGCTACCTCATCGTATCGAAGCTCAAAGCACATATTTTATCTTCAATAGATAAATAAACATAAATCCCAATTAAGCAAGATGTTTCATTATAAAAGAAAGCCACTAGTCGTGTAAAAGAAAATACGATGGAGAGTTTATAGTAATGGATAAAGAGCAACAAGTATCAAATTCAAACCACAAATAATTGAGGAAGGAACCAGAATTAGTAAGACAGTTTGCTAGCGATTAAGCATTTGAGGACCAAATATCAAGAACATTTTGAATGCCAAGTTTTATCCAAGGAGCACCAGGCCAAGTTTTGAAAAACTAAATCTCAAGTGAATGACTTCAGCTAAAGTATGTACTCAGAATATTGTCAACTTTATGAACTAGTCTCAAATGGGCCAGTTTTCTATTAATTGACTGTGATAATTTAAAAAAACTTGCATCATTTCAGGCCTCTGGGTGTGTGGCAGTCTCACAAGTAAGGTCTAGAAATTGACAAAAGGTACCATCTCAATCCTTTTTCTTTTTGGGATCTGCCAAAGTAAATGTCCCTATTATTCAATGTACACAAACGACCCTAAATTATACTTATTATTGAAAATTTTAGTATTAATATTTCCAAGGACATGCATTATAAAGTTGAATTCTGGAAAGGTACACTTAATTTGGCACGGAGGTAATACTATTAAGTTAGCCAACAACTAAGCAAGCATTAAGACTACAATAAAAGACCTCCAGCATCAAAACATTGAAAAGTTAAAACAGTATTTTTTTTTTGGGAAGTAGGAGCCTGGCACCGCTAGGCCACTGGCCTGTTGGTAAATTAAAACAGTTTATTTGCCATCAAAAAAGCTTAATAAAGGAGATCACTATAAACTCTGAACAATCATCACAAATCCATAAAGTAGTTTAACTGGTCTTCTCAAATAAATGTAATTAAATTAATGGAAAATGCCTTTGTTGCTAATCCATCCAAGCAACTATCTTTGCTAGCATGTAAAGAAACAGGGAAAAATAACACAGCCAAAAATGACCACATCGATATAGAGGTTCTGGATGCAAAAAGCTTTCACCATGGCATAACAATGCAAGACAAGGTACTCGTTTGTGACCTATTAATAATAGTCTTGGAATACATGCCGATGCTCAGACAGAATAAACTTTCAAGGATCCATCACAGTTCATATGACAATTTAACAACCACAATAATGTGGGGTGGAGATTAGGATGATGACTATCTCAAGCAACTGGTACAGCTAAAAGAAAAACCCTACATCTCTCTCTACAAATCCACCATAGATCATCAAGTTACCACAATTCTCCAATCAAACACATAAATGGAAGGATGGTGCAAACCATGCAGGCAAATAACACCAAATTTGTCTATTTGAGAGGGTTCTTGTGGCTTCTGCTTCTGTTCAACCAAAGCTTCACCACCAACGCAGTGTTGTCTTTTCATTTTTTGTATGTTTCTTTTTATCGGGATGGTGTTAAGAGAAAGGAAAAACCTGCAAGGAAAAGAGGAGTCACCTAGAAAACACATTCGATCACCTTTACTATACCAGACATCGATTTACAATCAAAGAAGGCACTTAAAGTTGAGTGCAATATAAAGGGTTCCCCTACGTTCTCAGGGGACAGCTGAGTTAGGGTATCCAAAAGAGAGTTCCTCTATCTCTACTGATGCAACAATAGGGTTTAAATACACATGCGAAACGCATTACCAAAGTTTCAGACAAATTTAACAAATAAGGAGCATCTATTAAAAGTTCCAGAATAGGGATGAATTAATGGTGCTATTTTCCTAAAGACTGGAAGGAAGGAAAAGAAAGGTGACAAATAAAGAACCATTATGTGCTAACGTCTTAGAAGAAGCATGTGATATTTGGCCACATAGAGGAAGCATACAATAGCGTGCATGATGATAGAGATCATTTTTTTTTTTTTTTTTTTGGACAACAGAAAGCAGAAATTGAACAAACAAATCACAAAAATAATATGTTATCATTAAGCACGTCAATAATAGGGAAGATACTAGAGATTGTAAATGAAAGTAATTCCTTAAAAAATTACTTTCCCCTAACAGTAAATTTAGGCCAAGGGTCAAATTAAGCTGTTATCACCATAACTGTTGATAAGGAGTGAATATTAGAAGTTCCAGACTAAGAATGAATCACTGGTGCTATTTTCCTAGAGACTTTTAGGAGAAGTATGGTAACAAATGAAGAACCATTATGTGGTAGCCGTGGAGAGGAAGCATGTAATCTTTGGCTACTTACTTATAGGAAGTACATGATAGAGAGCTATTATTGTTTCTGGACAAGTAAAAATAAATAGAAACTGAAAACAAATTACAAAATTGATATGTTATCATTAAGCATGTCAATAATAGGGTAAAAAATCACGTTTGGGAAAGAACTGAAATCCTGAATAAACTGCTTTCCCCTAACAGTAAGCTTCGGTTGATCTAAGCCAGTATCAGTATAACTGTTGATGATTAAATAAAAGCTCCAGTAAAAGATGAAGTTTAACTGTACTAGTATCAAACACCATTTGGCAGGTTTTCCTAATTGATTGTTAGATGATAGGGTAGATAAATGAACTGTGTGAAACCAAAAGTAACCAGTTTCACTAGCATGGCTTGGTTGACTGAAATCATGATAATAATCAAGATAAAACTAGCTATAGAGTTAAAAGTGTCTGGCATTCAGCAGATATTACAACAGTTGCATAGCACTACCATGTCAAATTTAAGAAAAGAGTAACAAAATATAGTACAATATCTACACATTAAATGTCAAAATTTCTTATTTGCACAATCATTTTCTAAAAAAAATACTAGAAATATCAGTTAATTGCATGTTTCATGTCGGAATTATAATGAATAAAAGAGTGAACAAAATGTGCACAAAGGAGAATAACAAGATGGAACAATTTATGGCTAATAGATGGTTGGTTAGGGAGTGGAATCTCCCAAATAGTGTGCTCGGTAAGTAACTGTGGTGGCCCCTATATGATAGGCATTTTTCCAAGTCATGCCTTCAGGAAATTTCGCCAGTTCTGTCTATAATCTTCTTCTTTTTTTTTCATTCAGTTCTATGTTGAGTCGTTGAACTATTCTGTTAATTCTGAAGAGTTAAACCACAGCTGGAATTTTGGTTCTATTACTGCTCTGTTAAGATGCATTTGGAGTTTGCTGCTAATTTCTAATTCTTATGGACCTTATTTTCCTATGCTGAATGCTATAAGACCTACACGGGTGGAAGCCCTGCTTAACATTGCCTGCTTGTGTTGTATCCTATCGTATAATTATGAGATAGCTCATCTGCTTTGCTATGACGTCAGATCTATCAGTGGTCAGAGGGACTTCTATGGCTCTCAGTAATGGTTGTTTATATTTTGCATTTCTGTTAATGCTTTTGATATGAACTGGCTTAGTTTTTTCCTTTCTTTTTTTTTTTCTCTTTTTTATTTATAAGTATGAACTGGTTTAGTTTTAAATTGACTTAGTTTCAGTTTTGTTATCGCTCTTTAACTGTTGTATGGCTTTGCCCTTGATTGCAATATAAAATCTCACTTGCCTATTATAATTTTTTTTTTTTAAGGGACCAAAAAAAAAAAAAAAAAAAGAATAAGATAATAACTATTTATAATAAATAAATTTGTTGCCAAACTACTCTGACTAGCATAAATTTACCATTTCAGAATAGCTTAGATCATAAAGATCCTCATCATGGGCCCAGTCATCCATGCTAAACTCAGGAAGTGAACGACAACCATTTGCATATAGCCATTGACCCTTCTCAACTTTTCGACAGTTGGGACATTGCATCACTCCCTTTACATTGAATGCAGAACCGATGCAATCTGAAAGTTATCATGACAAAGATAGAATAAACAAAATGTAAGAACAACTATAACACCTGTAAAATCTAACATCAATGAAAAACTAGAAGAAAAGGAAATGTTTGCCATAAAAAAGAGTGGACCACTGCATGCACCAAAATGTAACATAACATTTAAACTTGGAGTCTTGGATCATAATTTGACACCTAGACAAACTAAAAGGAAGGATATGCTTTTACTATATAAAAAAGAAAGAAATGGTTGAAAGACTGGTGATTGAATTCAAAGCGGAAGGAATATGTAATAACCAGTAATAAGCATAGAGAAGGACAATTCATCAAAGTCAATAAACATGATCATAGAAGTTATAAACATTTGATGAGAACTGTTCTTAGCTAAAGATTGTCAATTTAAGCTCCTTGGGTACTATTTGCTCAAAAGTACATAGCAAAGGGAAGAACCCACATTGGACGTTAAATCATACGCTAAAAAAATCCATCCTCCGTCCCATATTAGTTGTCCATTTTTAGTATTATAACTTTTTAAGGGTTATGCAATTCATGCATTTTCCCCTTTTAAAATTACCAAGATGTCCTTTTAAGTTTAAATATGTATATTACCAAGTTGGGTGATTTTTGAAATTCAAAGGGTAACTATGGAAAGATAGCATTTATTTTGCTTTTACTTGTCAAATGGGACAACTAATTTGGGAATCCCAAAAAGGAAAGAGTGACTACTAATATGGGACACAGGGAGTACAATTTTTTACCCAAAATAGATTTCTCAGAATCTTCCATGTAAGGGGTAATCCGTTTGGGTGAAAGTAAATTGTCTCTCCCAATGAATGTACTATGCCACCAAACAAGACCGATTGATGAGTAAGTAGCACGCAAGTGATGTTAAGGATCAAGTGTATGCAAATTGCCCCAATTCAGAAGTAGAAAAATTGTGATGTAAACGGGTAAACCCACTCTATCCAAACACCCTTCTCTTTCCTAGGGGGGCCTTTATTGGCAGACAACCAAATCTAGCCTTTAAATCACTTCATGGTTTACCATCTAAAAAAACTTTCCATTAACGATCCAAAGGTGGTGGCTAAAAGTTAAGGAACTTTCATTACATAACCAAACTAAGATTATTTCTATCAATATGAGAGAGGAATGTGATATTTTAGTGTAAACTAGAAGATCAAACACCAGATCTCCTGGACTTATTAGTGGCAAAACTTTTTGTTGCAAGTTCAATCATATTTGTAGAAAACAATTGAACACAAGTCGTTCACTTTCTTTTCTCATCAAATCTCAAACAAAAAAATATATATATCAGAGGATGTAAATGTATGGTACTCATATACTCATATTCCCTTCACCAGTGAAGGCAAAAGGCATCGGACACCTGGCACCATTGCAATGAGAAACTTGCCTGATGTTGTGCCACTTGTAACAGGTAGCAGGAAACTTGAATAAAATTATATAGCAAATCATGAGGGAATATGAAGCTAGGCTCATTGTTGGCTGATTTCTACCTAAACATTTCAATTTTTAAGCTTGGCTTCCCAGCCAACCTGCAGCGCAGGCTGAGCAGCCTGTGGCCCTACACTCAAATTTTCATTTCCTTCTCATCTCTTCTAAGCCCATCTCTCACATGGAGAATCGGCCAAAATTTATTAATTTGGCCATGTTTACACCCACAAATCTTGATGCTTTTGACACATAAAAGAACACAACATTGGGCCACCATAGCCACAAGTAATAAATATATTTCCCTTTGCATTCCATAAAGCCATTTTTGATGAATGTGAAGTTCTTCACATTGTAAAGCTCGTAAAAACCCATGAAATTACAAAATCAATTGACCGTTCAGTTTTTCTGAGTCCATATCCGTATTGGTTTTGTGTGGCTCATAAAAAAAATATTTTGGTCTACGAATATGTTCAGAAATTGGCCTAAATTCACTGGTTGAAATATGAGAAATGCTAAAAAATATTGTGATGTCAGTTCACATGTTTTATAAAAGATGTATCACAGTGCGATATCATATATGAAGTTACCACTTGCACAGAGATCATAATGGCACCAATCAACTATTTGATATTCCTGTTAATGTATTTACTCAATTATACTATCCTATCTATCACTGAGGCATATACAAGGAACTAAAAACTGGGGGGGAAACGGAATTCAAGCTTTCAATTCGAGCCTATCTTTATTCCATTTTTATTCTTTTCACTTCCTAGGATTTATAAGGTCAATATAACCTTAACTGAAGATATTAACCAAATAATGAGGTTATACACTTAGTTGCATATGTAGGTTGTTCTGTTCAGTTCTGGTCAAAAAGTACCTTGGTTTACCTCTTGGGACAAATTTGTTGCTTTAATCCAGTACTTCCAAGTGAAAAAAGCAGGAGGGGAAAAGAATTATTATTATTATTTTTTAATTCCTACAATACAAAGTTGCATTAAACCCTAAAGGATAACTTTATGATCCTAAATGCCCAAAAGAATAGGCATGCAGCACACACATTACCTCAATGATACGAGGTAATTAGCATATGAACTACAAATTTGGAATTTCAACCACAACTTCATCTTCAATAAATGATTGTTGTTAGTGTCCACAGCTGACACAGTCATCTATCAAGTTCTTAAAAGCACAGAAAATTACTACAAGGGCACTCAAAAATGAAAAGAGTAATAAGGTAACCTCTATAAATAGGTTCAAATATTGTAGATGACAAATACATAATCCAATTGACCATTACATAGGCCTATGTGAATTACCTCAACAATCAGTTTCACACTGACGACCTCCTTCACTCAATTCCCAGAGAATGGCAATGTAATGCTTATAAATTATAAGCTTCCAAACGTAAATTTTTACACCCAGATCAATACATATACTGTGACAGTACTCCATATTGCCTCCTAAGTGAGCTTCAGTCACAGCATACATTCTAATTCTTATAAATCCATCAATATTGTACGTATCCACTTTCCCAACAACAAAAAAAATAATTCTCTTTCAACATCCTAGGTCTCCTGATCTTCAAAACAATCTCATTTGAAAAGATATGATCTTATCAAAATGAGAACGTCAGAAAAAATAAATCCATCCAAACATTAAGGGGGAACAAAGATAGAAAACTCATAATTTTTATATGACCATCAATCAAGAATAGGATCTCGACCGTTTCTATACAACCCATAATTTAAAATGGAATAAATTGAACTTACCAAGATGAAATTCATGGCCACATTGAAGCTTCGCCCGAGATCTGTCCCCATTATCAGTCACGGCATCGAGGCAAATCGAGCATGAAACCGGCGACGCTTTGCTAGCGACATCGCCGTCGTCGAGAAGATCAGAATCGCCTAATCCCATGTCAAAAACCCTAATTTATACATAAAACATATACCTCAAGATATTGTATGAATCTCTCGTAAATTCCTCCAGAAAGCTTCGAATTTTGAAGCGTTTATAGCTTCAAATAACCGCAGAATCGAGCGTCGATGCTCAGAATTCTAGAGAGAGAAAGAGGAGGGGTTCGTATTGGAATCGCTAAGCAGAGAGAGAAAACGGTAGAGATCGTTCTCTCGATGTGTTGTGATGTGTTGTGTGTGGAACAACAATAAAACAATAAACAATAAACAATAGAGAGAGAAAAACTGAACCTATTTTCTCTCTCCTCACCGCGTGTTTTATGGCCGTCGGATTTGGGATTGAATGATTGATAATTGTAAGGACATTTCAGTAACCGCTGTCCAAAAGAGAAAAGGAAAAGATTTAATGGACGGTTTGGATTTTCTTGGGGCGGATGGACGGATCAGATTATTTTGGTGGATCTGGGTGGATGGGTTTTGGTTGAAATTGACGTAATCGTCACCCGAAGGGGCAAAGATTGCCTGCAGAGACGTGCACGGTTTTTAAATGAATCTTCTACTGGTCTCAACCTCATGTCACTATTTATCAGAAGTTTTTACATGATTACGAAACCATTGCTCCGATCAATCTCCATTAAACATATATTCAATCATGTCCAAATTTTATAAGCTTCTTATATTTTTTTACTTGCTCGTTCAATGGTGATCGATCCAAATTATCTAATAGAAAAAAAAAAATTCATCATTTATAATTTAAGTATGAGTAGGAATTATTTGCAGTAAGCCACGATTACATGTATAATGTGTGTTTCTGAATGGTACTTATGCATGTCTATGCAATCACATACTGTATTACATATGCTTATATATCGTTCGATGTAGTACAACACTTATATTGTATTATAACATATTTTACTATATTCAATTTCATATGTCACGCTATTTATAACCGGGTATGAGTTTATGGTTCAGAAGCATACATAATCACATGTATAATATTTGTGAACAGTGACATATTAGGCATGTGTCCACAAACACATATTATATGATTTTTATCTGTTGTTGTTGACAGTGTGCATCACATATGTATGCAATTACATATAATAGTGATATTTATAAATGTTGCACAACACTTGTGTTTGGTCCACTAAATTTTGTTTCTAACATTAGATTGCAAGGTATAAACTCTTGTGCACAAGTCCAATTCAAGTACCTTCCGAAAAGGAAAAAAAAAATTCCAATTCAAGTAACTTTCATTTCAAGTCTACTAACTACATTAAAGTTTTTTAAATACAAAATAAGAGAAAATCAAATTTGGTAGCAGATTAGTTATGAGTTAGGTTATTCATATGCATTAAAAAAAGAATTTAAGTATATAAAAATTAGATAAAGTACCAAAAATAAAAATAAAAATAAAAATAAAAAACCTGTTAAACTACAACTCTTTTCAACAAAAACCTCCCCAAATTGTTCTTTTTGACAAATTGTCCTCTATAGTCAAAATTTTCGTTTAAAAAAATAACAAAAATTAGTTTTAAAATTTTATTTTATGACCACTATACCCTTTTGTCACGTCTGACACATATGTCTTTGGATTTTTTATGATCCAATATTTGTCGAAACCAACCCTCTCTATTCAATTTTTCAATCAATAGTAAAAAAACCTAACTAAACCTTGTTAATGAAATTAAGAAGTATTATTGAAAATGGTGAGTAGGTCTCTTGCTTGCCATTACACCTGTATTATTTGAACCTATAATTCATTTAACGTGAGTTATGTTTCTTAATTTAATGTTTAAATTTGTAGTCAGTGAATTTGGAGAAAGTATTAAATATTCCGAGGGTATGGTACCCCGGGACAATGGCAGCCCTTGGATTATGAATGTGGCGGTAAGTCCCATCACATTTAAGGGTTGTGATGACACTTGAGTATCATAGTCTCGTGATATTTAATACTTTCTCGTAAACTTGATACTAATGAAGAAATTCATTCAATTTTATTTTTTATTTTTTTGATAAGTAAATGAATAAATTCATTCATGCTGAAAATTATGGTGGTTCATGTGTTAATCATGGGAAGGATATGGATTTTGAATTGAAAAAAATGAAATGTTAGTACATAGTGAAGAAAAAATACGTAATCTCTATACTAATTATGCCATAAACAAAGTAATTATGCCATAAACAAAGAGTTCAGGGTGATAAGGTACGATAACGTTGAGGTACAAGTAACATGTAGTAATGTTTCACATAATCAAAACTTACCATCATTTACCAAATTTTAGTTGGTGTGAATTTTCCACTTTTATGCTATACTTGTGATTAATTGCTCAAATCGTAATATTTGAACCCCTAATTTATTTAATATGAGTTATGTTCCTTAATATAATGCGATATTGCTATTACTTTTTTGTTAAATTTGTATACACTGAACTTGATAGTGACAAAAGAAATTATTGTTGTTGATAATAATGATAGTCCATATTTTATACATCGAAATGATGTTGATTTTGAATTTAAAATTGGAATGTTGGCACATAGTACATGGTGAAGAAGCAGCATATAATCTTTTAACATAATTGTGCCATAAACAAAGATTTCAGTGTGCGAAAAAGTAAAGTAGGCACAAGTAACATGTGACAATGTTTCATAGAATCAAACTTACCACCATTTTCCAAATTTTAGTCATATGTGAAATTTTTTTCACTTTTATGTTATACTATTGATTAATTGATCAAACTGTTCTTGATATTCTAATTTTTTTTTTTTTTTTGGGTTTAGAATGAAGCAAATGGTTGTGCAGATTGTTTTGCATATGTAAGAAGACTACATGAGACTTTGTTTTGCGTAAGTAAGATTTCTGAGCTTTGTTTTTGTTTTTTTTTTCTTTTTTCTCTATCACATGTCATGTACTGTCATTCAATTGCCAAATTCACAAGAATTTCATGTTTGAGACAAACAGCGGTACAAGGCCCCTACTTCCTAAAGGGAGGTCAGGGGTTCGAACCTCAGTAGAGGCAATGTGTGCGAGTACCATCTGAATTTGGCAATTGAATGACAGTACATGACATGTGATTGGAAAAAAAAAAAAAAAAGAAGACAAACCGACTTGGTCTATTATTATTACCATAATACGTTAAATAAGAATTGGAATCTTATGCTTTAAAATTGCAAATGATCTAGTTTTTTTTTTTTTTTTTTTTTTTTTTTTTTCAATCACATGTCATGTACTGTCATTCAATTGCCAAATTCAGATGAATTTCATGTCTAGGGTTTAAGACAAATAGACTTGGTCTATTATATTACAAAAATACAATGAATGAGAATTGGAATCTTAATGTGACACCACATAAAGTAAGCTGGGTGTAAATATTATAAACAAAGTACAAGGGGGCATAACCCAAGAATGTACATAAAGAATATATATATAAATCCCTTTCCGGCACTAAGCAAAACCAAAAAGAGGAAAAACAAAGAGAACAATACCAAAAAGATGTTATACATAAAATGACCTAGTCTAGTGGAAACAGAGAGAGAAACTTTAGACTGCCAATTTAAACCCAACAAAGCAAGGCCAGTGAAGGACAACAGAATTTGACAACAGCACAAAAACACCAGAATAAAGAAGACAACAGATCTCCTTACAAGTTCCTATTACTGCTGCTGCATGTTAGATCACAAGCGTTGTGTCTCCGCGATGGCAACGTACATACAATGACCTAGCATGCAAATTGCCGGGCTCTGAAAACAAATTATTTCACATTCTACAACTGATGAATCACATTCCCTACTGTGGGAACAGTTGAAACTTGGAACTTCACCCTAAAAAGTTACCTTGGAATTCTTGACACAGATTGTGTGCAAAGGCATGTACACATAAGCTAACCTATATTTTTGCCGGCATTTTGAAAGTACTTTTCTTGATTTCCTGGATGGAATCTAAAACAAATTTTGCTTTTCAAAAGCAATGAAACTACTTACAACAAGCATGTCTTAGCATGCATAAGCTTCAAAATGGCCACACTCCAAAACCAATTAACACAACTAACACAGAAATCAAGAGACAACAAAAGCCACAAACCTTCATGGTGCCAACCATGGTCCCACCACAATTTTCCAACATGGCTTGTTTGAAGTTCAAAATGCACCAAATGTTTCATGCACTACAATACTCGATAGCAAATCTACAAGTTTGAGAAGTGAATGAACAATGCATGTGCACCACTTACTATGATCACCATAGAACATAATATTGTTTTATTTAATTTATTTAAAGATAGAACGATTCGGTATGATGATTAAGGTTTTTTTTTTTTTTAAATGACAAAACATTTGTTCATATCAAAATCACCGTGTGTGATGACCATAATCATCCATGGTTCAAAGAAGTGGATGCAAGGTCATCCTTAGGCATAAGGTAAAATAATCAATTATCGCGGTCGTGAAATTTTCTCAGCCTTTCAAACCAATCATATATGATGACTTAGCCGAGTCCATAGGGAGGAAGAGAGTTGACCAATTCCCTAGGATTCAATTGAGTCTCATGTGATTCTATAATGGTGAGTATCAAAATCAAACTCAAGCTGAGTTTGTTAATACTCGACCAATATGCTAGCCTTATTTTATATGATATTCTGCATCCTAGAGCGAGATATATGAATGTAAATTTATACCCCTTTGTTGCCACAAGACTTACTACCAGAACCTCCCTTGCCCTGCACCACCTTGCCTTCGGCACTTTGATTGTCTGTACCACGCCCATTGCCTTCTGCTTGCCTCGCACTCTCTTCCTCTTCCTCGCCCTACCCCACCCTACCCAGGTGAATTTTTATCTGGAAAAGTAAAAGTTCATCAATAAAGCAACAAAAATTAGCAAGATTTGTAAGTCTTAAGTAATAAATGGCATTCAACAGATCTTCCAGAGTACGCTTGTCAGTAGACTTAGACATTTTTTCTCTCTCCTTTTATTGAATTATTTTGTTTCTCTGAACTGAAAACGAACAATTAAAGATGTCAAACCTCACATAAATTATAAGCAGACAGTCCCATTAACTTTTTAACATCAGAGCTAACTCGACAAAAAGAATTACTACTGCAGCAGTATTTGGGGTGCTAAACCAGCATTAGCATCTAAATTGCAAATAATTGGACAAACCATATGATTCACTAGTTATAATGCCATTTTCCTAATGTCAGTCCCACTTACGCGGGGTGCTAAAGGGTAGACCAGATTCATATAACTTTTGTTATTATTTTGCACAATATGGTTGCTATTGAATTGTCCGACAATGAGAAAGACCAATTCAATAAACTGAAACCTCTTTCAAAACAATTTTATGGGAAACAGTGACAGACACGATATAAATGTGTCTTCCTTGATTCTTACACAGATATAAGCTAGTGCAAAATGATTAAAGTGCTTGTCCAGAGGTGGAAAAGGTCAAAATGAAAGATCTTGTACAAAATTTTCACATTCGTTTAGTTGAATGTTTGTTGTGACTAGCAACCATTCATAGAAGATGTCTGCAAGCACCAGTATGGTCAATTGGCCACATAGTAATGATCATACTTTGAAAAAAGACAAGCTTAAAATGGTCAGATTTAGGGGTCATGAAAGCAATGAAGCATATTATGTGATTTTGAAACCTCACCAAGATATCATATGGTGCCCTAATATTTTAATGGAGATATAACAATAACTTGTGCTTTTCAACTTAATGAGTAGAACCAAAGAGATATGAGAAGCAATGAAGCATTCATTCTAAAAAATGAAGCATTATTATGAGTTTTAAGCTGCAAACTTCCCAAAACGGCTTCTCATTTAATCTCTAGGAAGAAAAACAGGGCATCCATAACATTTCAATCCAACTTACACGCCATGCGTATTGCAGAGAGGGGTGTTGTACTTTCCTTATGTCATTAACTGCACAGTACAATGTAAACAGTCATATCCTCCAATTGGAGATTTTTAGTGCCCAATGGGACCTTCATGATAAATAAATAGTATAGTCACCTATTAAAAAAGTGTTGTGGCAATTAATGTGACTGCTTACAAGGTCACAGTCATCCAATTACATTTGGATGTTTCTATTTTTATCTCAGTAATCATCTATTTACCGTCGTACAATACATCCCTTCACCCCTACCACCCAAAATTTCGGAAGGATAATTGTTGATAGAGATCTCTGTCCAGACAAGAGGCGTCCTATAAAATTAAAAATCATTAAGAAAGAGCAAAATGCAGTTCCAGGGATAACACATAAAAAGCATATTCATGTATCCACAAAGGACATGATAATTGCCTTATTATCATTGTGTAATTGTGATGGAATTTTGTGCATCCATAATATTTCCATTGAACAAAGTCTAAAGAATATGATGCTAAGAAACCTAAACATTATCCAATTATTGAATCAAGGAATAATAATAGAACCAATAAAACTAAAAAAAAAATAAAAAATTATTAAAAAGGTGGGTTTCAATTTTCCCAAACTGAATATTAAAAAGGGCACAAGAACTCTGGTCAGCAAGCAACCAATCTCTCTACATTATCACCAAAGATGCACTTCTACAGAAGGTGCCTCAATTAAAGGTTGAACCAGTGCATCACAGAAGATCTCACTAAAGTGTCTTTGCAATAACAATTGGTACAAACTTAACAGAAAATGCCTTCAGGAGCATATCAGTGTCTGATTTGGCTAAAATGCATCATTCCAGAGGTTAAAACTTAAAAGCAATGAAACCTCTTTGATAAAATCATTGGTCAGAGAGAAGAGAGCAGTTTGCAACATAAGGAAAGACAACATTTTTTATTGAAAAGTTATAAGAATCAAACTCTTTAATTTTTTTTTCCACAACAGTTTTGCAAGAAAAGACAATACTTTCACAGGAAAGTATAGCACGAATATACTCGTTGCTCAAAATCATGTCAAACAAATTTAGCAACCCCCAACCCATTATTTTCCCATCTAACATATTTGTTAGTTAATCATGTAGTTCATGCTGTGATTACTGATTAGTGCCCAACCTTCATCTTAAACAGTGAAATGTGTCAAACTCCAATGAAGCTTTGTCCAACACCTTTAGATCCTAGCTCAGACCTTTTCCAATCTATTCTATTACAAGCCGATTCTCCTCTAATATTTAACTTTTTAAAATAATTTCTAATAATTTCATCTCATGTTTTCTTCGGGCGCCCTCTCCAGCTCCTACCTTCTATCAAATTAACCTTCTCTTCTCACCAGTGCATCTATAGGTCTTCTGTGTATGTGTCATACTACCTAAGTCTACTCTCTCTAATCTTCTATCACTCTGCCTCATATGTTGGTTCGTAACCCTATCTCCTCTAGTGACTCCTATCATCCATCTTAACATCTGCATTTCCGTTACATGAATTCGTTGTATTGATTTAACAAAAACTTTAACATTAAATTCTCATTAACAATTCTAACTCTCCACTTGGTCTCTGAAAGATCAAAGATCATGAAAAAAAAAATCAATTAAATCAGTTCACTACTGGATGCCCTGTGTAGACTTTACATTGATAAATTAGAAGGTACAGTAGAAACAATTGCATCAATTTAACATAAAATGCAATAATAGAGCTTCAAAATACACCAAAAGAAAACCCACTCTTAATGATATTATCAAATCAATGCTGTAAGTAACATACCATTTTATGTCACACAAGCGCAAAATCCACCAGTGTAAATCTACAAGCAAACAAAATGTAGTCAGAAGTAAAGCACAGATAATCAAATGCATTCACAAAGAAACTGCTAACAAGTTTCTAAGAAAATGTGAAATAGAACAGAATATTTTATCTTGAAGCTTGAAACAAATGCAATGACTCAATTGAGCCTAATAGAACAATGTGGGTTTCTTTGAATTTTCTGTTTCCGGAAACCAAAACGATGTAAAGCATTGGATTAACGTTCTTCTTTCTTTTCCTTTCCTCAGTTTTCTTGACAGCCAAACAGTGGATTAATAGATAAAAAGTTTTTTTTTAAAAATCTATGAAACCCTAGCTCTTGATGAAACTCGAATTCTCAAATTGCAGAACACTATGAAATACAAGAAATGGAACACATGAGAAAGACGATTGAAGAGAGAACCTTTTATCGATCTTCCTGTGAAAACGGTCTGTACGGTTAATCGCTGACTGAGAAAATAATAAGATTTTTAAGGTCAAGGGCTCAGTAAAATGCGAATTTGCTATAATACCCCAAAATTTTGAGTGTTTTTTTTTACCTCGGCGAAGAAATACGCACACCATTCTCATGACCTAATAAACAAAAAAAAAATAACATTTGACGTTAGATTTTTTTTAAAAAAAAATAAACTTGTGAAAGAGATATTGAGGTGAAAAATAAATAAATAATTATTCTATTTTGAAAGTTGTAAACAAAATTATTAATCATGAAGGATATTTCGTAACTAAAACTTATGCTCCGTTTGGTGAGAAAGAAGGAAATTGGATAGAAGGGAGCGATCAAAGAAGAGATGAATGAGCCATTCCTATGGAAGAGATTGTATTCTTCCCTCTTATAATATGTTTGTATGGAATAGAAGAGAATAAGATAATATATTATTTTGTTTGTTACGAGTGTCAATTATAATGAAGTTTTGTAATTTAAAATATTTTTTAATAGCCTTGCCTATTTTACTTTGCATCTTTCGTTCATATTTGTTAGGATGAAAATTTACAAAGGAGGAATGATAACTCATCCATCCTATTTTTTCGTTCTCTCCTTTCCTCCTCTCTACTAATCAAAGGAAATTTGTTTCTTCCTTCTTATCTTTCTTCTTTTCTACCAAACCAGTTCAAACAAAACATTAACGTATTACAATTGAAAATGAGAATTTGATTTCAAATTTGTTATATGGTTTTCTAAATAAATTCGAATTATAATTCAAATTGATTTCTAAATACAACTATTTTACAATTTAACAATCAAAATTTTCTCCATCAACTATCATTTTATTTAGTTATTTTTATTTTTATTTTTTTTCTCACAGAGGAAGTATCCTCGCACGTTGCTGATAAGACTAATCCAACTCTTAGTGTATATATGTATTATTGCGCTGATATAATTTTAAAATTTTCAAACATATGTGCGAAAATAAATTCAGATTGATATTATTATTGAATTTGGTAAACCACACAAATGGGCTGGGTTGGGATTCAGTTTGTTTCCAACTCCACTTGTCCATATTATTAAAGTCCGGACTGAAGTGCAACTATAACTCCTATTTTCAGATGATATCCAACTCCTTACGCGGGCAAATTTTTTTTTTTTCTTCACAAAATTACATGAATACCATTAAATTAATTTTGTTCATAACTAATTAGTAGGGATGTTTTTGACTTTTCTTACGTAGAACAAGAAACTTAATCCATATCCATAATATAGAATCTGAATTGCTTACAGGAAACATTAATTCACACTCGGTGTGGAATTAGGAATTCATTCAATATATATATATATGTGTATTAGTACCCCAACACATTATAGATTATACGTTTAGGAAAAAGCTTGCTTGGTTGATCTCTTTGGTGTTGAGCAATGGCCATTAATACCAATAGTGTGTTTTTCTGTGTTTTTGTGACAGTCGTGGGCTTTTTCTTTCTTTTTCATCTTCCACAATCATGCAATGCTCATCCCTTGAAGATTTGTGACTTTGATGAGATATATCAACTCGGAGACTCCATATCCGACACTGGAAATCTGATTCGTGAGGCTCCTATTGGGGCTGCTTTGCCTTTTGGTAGGCTTCCATATGGTCAGAATTTCTTCAACAATGCCACCGGTCGATGCTCAAACGGACTTCTCATGATCGACTATTTTGGTATTTCGTCGATTTTCTCTTCTTTCTAGTCTGTTTCATAAATTCATAATTAATATAACTTCATTAATTTTTATTTCTTTGGTGGTTAGTCTAATGAATCTTTTTAATTTGAATAATATAGTACATGATAAGTAGTATCCAAAATATATGTCAACTTTTATTTACAGTGTATATATATTATATATACACACACACACATACACATGTCGACTTCTATATAATTTGATAACTTTATTTGTATTCATTAATATGTTTTAGATTCTGTACACTAATGATCAGTGTCATTCATGCTTTTTCTTCTTCTTCTTTTTATATATTATACAAAAATTAAGGAAAGAAAGAAAATAAATAAATAAATAATGTCAATTATTTTGTACGTACCAAATTCTTCCCTAAACGATTTTCCTCAATCAGCACTATATATCTTAGTTTTTTAAGTTAATGGAAAACTAATAATTGTGCTATGTTTTGATATATATATATATATAAAGGCTAAATTTATGAACTTACAATTTATTTAGACTGCAATATAGAAGTTAGAACCTAAAACATGTATTAACAAACCTTGCAAAAAATATATACAGAAATAGTACATTACATATTCACTGATTCATAAATATTACTTTGCCACTATATACTTTTTATTTTTTATTTATTTTAATATATATATATATATATATCAGTTATGCAAATAGTTCAATCTTCTTAAATTTTTTTTTTTTTTTGGTTGTGGTGAAATTAATGTTCATAAAAACTATAAGTAAGCGTTTAGTGTTGAATTGGTTTTAATATACTTAAATTACTAAACTGCATTATATTTTCATACTTTGACAGCATTGGCATCTGGACTTCCGTATTTGAATCCGTACAAGAATATTGAAGCCGACTTTAGACATGGAGTGAACTTTGCAGTTGCTGGCTCTACTGCTTTATCAACACTAAAACTGGCAGCTAAAAACATCTCATCTCCGGTCACTGCCAGTTCTCTCAATGTTCAACTTGATTGGATGTCTACACATTTCAAATCCACATGTCACAATAACAGAGGTTTGTGATTCATCTAAACTAATTAAATTAAATGATTTTTAGAATTATTAAAATTGAGTGATTATTTACTTAAATGTTTTATTTACTTTGTTTATGTTTGACAGATTGTGTTGAAAAGCTAAAGAAGTCTCTGTTCATGGTTGGAGAGATAGGAGGGAATGATTATAATTATGCACTCTTTCAACGCAAATCTATTGAGGAGGTTAAGACCATTGTTCCAAATGTTGTCCATGCTATAAAGGATGCTGTTAGAGTATGTTTTCGACTGCTTTCATTTTTACTACTTGTTGCTTCTAATCTAATTTCACCTAATTCTAATTCTGCTGTTATCGGTTTCAGAAAGTTATCCATCATGGTGCAATCCGAGTAATCGTCCCCGGTAACTTCCCAATAGGTTGTTTTCCAATTTATCTCACCGGATTCAAAACCGACGATTCAGCAGCTTACGATGAGCATTATTGTCTCAAAGCTTTGAATGACTTTTCGATATATCACAATGATCATCTACAGAGGGCCATCGAAGAATTGAAGCAAGAGCATCCGAATGCAGTGATTGTATATGGCGATTACTATAACTCCTTCAAATGGCTTTTCCAGAATGCTCCATATCTTGGTGAGTCAGAGTCTCTCTACCTCCCACAAACATAAACACACGCAGTGTTCCAACTGCATAAAAAAAAATAATTAAGCATGACATTTCCTTTTTTATTTTGTTGTTTACAGGATTTAATGCGTCGACTGCTCAAAAAGCTTGCTGTGGAACTGGGGGTGACTATAATTTTGATATGACAAGAATGTGTGGAGCTCCAGATGTTCCGGTTTGTGCTGAATCAAACAAATTCATCAGCTGGGATGGAGTTCATCTCACGCAAGAGGCTTACAAGTTTATGGCGGGAAAGCTCATTCATGATATCTTCCCTCAACTGCAATGCATCGTCTGATTTTTGTTTTCTTGGCTAGCAAAGTAGTAGGTTATGTATAGGTATTTTCATATTTTTTAATTAGTTGATTTCAATTTACGAATTTCGCATAATTAGTAAATAAGTATTCGACGGTTTTCGATTTGCAGATTCAATGTGCATTTGCTTGGTTTGACGTTAAATTTCTTGCTATAGTTGTCCTGCATAATACATGGTAGATTGAAGGAAGAATTGTTAAGAACGTCTATGCAGTTAAAAAGTTGCCTGAGAACATATGTGATTTAAACCATGGCAAATCATCCAAAAATAATGTCATAATTGGACATTCATTTATACAATATAAATTTTATAAGCAGAATTTCACCATTCAGTATTTCAAATACACCAACAAACCAGCCACCCAACCACATGACTGTTTTTTTACATGAACATCCATGTGTATGTATAAAAAGGAAAACACCAAGAAAAAGCAGTGTTATAGCAGCAATTGCTGATAAGGGTGGGCATCGTCGATGAAAAAGCGAGATACTCTGTCCCTGGACCTTGGATCTTGACATCGGTGCCACAGTCGGGAATTTGGAGCCGCCATGAATACATTCAGCGCATTAGATAATTGGTAAGCACTACATAGAAAACAAAACACTGGTCACATTCTGGACAAGAAGAGGATCGATGTGGCTGATAATAAAGGACATTAAATGAACACCATCGGTTCTGCATAATTGAATCTCAGATGGCTTCAAGTAAATTGAGTAGTTGCATTTACCTTCAGGAGGACATTAGCAAATGAAAATCTGATAATCAGACACAGCACCTCCGACATTCAGGTAATTGACATCAGCAACAACATCCCCGAGATCATCTGGCAATGATCATATTTTTACAAAATTAGATTGCACTCCAGAATGTATAGTATTGAAAAAGATAAAAAAGAACTCCAAACCTTCATAGATGGTCCTCGCATAGTTCACATATTCAGGTATGAGATCTGTATATATGATTCCTCCTGGATGTGCATCCAAGACCACGAGGACTCCTATAAACAAGATTAGAAAAGAAGTGATAAATTTCATATGCCGGAAGGATCTCCAACTTGCAGGGAGATGGCAATCACTCACATTGAACAATTTGAGGGATGAAAAGTTGAGAGTATGCATGATATAGATGTAATATGAAAGCTACAAAAGGTGGGGTATATTGAGAGCTATAAACCCTATGCATCAATTGAATATCGGCATAGCACTCGGGGACAGGTGAGAGAAGGTACCAGGTGCCAACCAAGCTTTAGCGGAATTACTTGGCAGTGGAGCCAGCCATAGAATGTTTCGCAAATTCATTGAATCACCATAAGTCACATTAGACCCTGACGAACAAATATTGAAAACAATGTTATTTCTTCATGTTTTACACTCAAATCAAGAATTGTGTTAGTTTGTTACCAATTGACCCATTGCAAAATCTTGATTCAAAAATCGGAAATATTTGCGGAAGGTAAGAAGAATTAGCATATGAGATATCCATATTTTATGTCCTTAACAAAATTCCTTTGTTATAAATGAAAAATAACCAATAGATATTAAGAGATTCAGAATTGATCCAACCTAGAAGAAGGAGATCACCAAAGGCATGAAAAGAGTAAGAAAATTCTCTTCAATAAAAATTAAAGGCGTTCTGGACCATATATACCTTTTTGGCAGTAGCCCATATTGTATGGAAACACTTTCTTTTCATATGCTGGGTATTCTTTAGCATGGAACCTGTCAAATTTTGCACCATAATATTAAAAGCATGTGATTATAAAGTAAGATGCATACGTCCAGTTAATAAACAGTAATGATAGCAGGGAAAAGTATTCCCGTGTCACATAAAACTCATTAAGAAAGCAGATAATTAAGACAGAATGTAATTTTAATGACACATATTATATCAATAAAAGGGGAAAATTATAATTAACTATTATGCAATTTCCCTTAATAACAGACACCTACCTATCATTTCTAAAAATTAAATTTCCTCTAACTTACCTGTAGTAGTGCAGACCCACCCACCAAAAAAAATGACAGGAACTAGAGACACATCCAGAAAATTTAGAGAATATTTTGTCACATTGCCCTTTAAACAGGTATTCTCCTAATTTCACTGGAATTAGTTATACTGATTCATATATCAGTGAAAGAATCCAATTGGGGATCAGAAGAATTTGACATTTTAGGGAAATGCAATGACAAAAGAAGCTGAACCTGAAGTTGTTTCTCCGAGTTTGGTTGTCCAGTGGTGGTTGAGTCAACGAAAAAGAAGAAAATGGGCCTCGCGCCTTGTCTTCTTCTTGGGCGAGAACACCATTGCTGTTCAATAATCTTGGACCTGTGAGTCTCAATAAAGACAAAAGCAAGCAAAGCTGGGACACAAGCTAGGTAGGTGGTAGAGACAGAAGTGAATATTTAATGAATTGGTGATGGGACTAGATCCTGGATTCTGATTGGTAGCAAAATATGTCTTTAGAGCTAGGGTTTGAAGAGGAGATGAATGTGAAGAGGAACGAGATGGGTGGGGGTTATAAAGATGGGAAGATGAGGTGGGAATTGTGCTGTCAGACAACGAGTCTTTGGTAATTTTGGTGGCTGTTGCAAGTTTCATGGTGAATCATGCATCATTTTCTCTTTGTCTAGCAACTTACTGCTTACGTGAGATCTCTAGGAGAGAACTTTGGCTGTGGGCTGGTAGAAGGGGTAGCAAAAGATCCAACCAAGTTTGTCAAATGGGAGCGAATGTGATGATCCACATCTTAGACTTACGAAATCTATATTGAATACTCCCCCACCCCCCTCGAGCTGGTTTTTTAATCCAGCACGTATTGAATTCATTTAATAACTTCTGTAGAGTTAACTATTCATCAAGGATTGTAGGCTTTTAACTCCTATATACTACATGAGTACACAGGTTGTGTCCCCTATGGCGCATGTCATACTTATCAAAAGCGGGTGATGAATGTAAAGCAATTTGTTTCTTCAACTCCTTAAGCCAAAGAAATCCTTTTATTGGACCTTATACAAGAGCAAGAATTATGGTGTATGTAAACTTACAAAATACCAAGCCTTCCAGTGTCGGTGGCAAGAAAAATGTGACCATGAAATAAGTCATAGCGATTTAAGGATATATTTAACCCTATACTGGGAGCTCGAGCAGCAATAATTTCAAATAGAAATTCGAGGTAAGAATTCAATTCCTACAAAATGACCAAAAAAAAAAAATTGATATCAATAAATAGAGATGGGCAAGTAATATAACAAATTCAAAAATTATCGAATGCTATAAATATAATGTTGATGCTCACCTCATTTATAAAGCGTCTCCCATACGGAGTTCTAGTAAGCTCGCATCGGTTCTCCTTTGATCCTTCAATATCGGGTACCTGTTACATTACTAAAGGAATGTTCTTTATAAACCAACAATGTAAAAACCATATTAATATCAGCAATTACAAAAAGAGACAACTAGGGGAAAAAAATTACAAAAAGAGACAAAAATCAACATCATAGGACTAAATTTCTAAGTTTGTAGCTGGACCCACACTCATCATCAACTTTATCTAACTACCACCAACAGATAATTGCAACAATGTTGTTGTTCTCACATGTTATATACTTACAAACCAACATGCATATGCATATTTATCTAGATAAAATTGTAATTGACTCTCTTTATTGTGATTTATTTTCATAGAAGATTTCTGTCTTTTAATTTTATTTAAGATTGTGCTGAAGCTGCCTATCTAAGCAATTCTCTTCTTCTAACTATAGCTCATTTTAACTCGTCTTCAAATCCATGGATTAATTCCCCATCAATTATTGCAACAATCCTATGAATGCACCCTTATAGTAAAAAAGAAAAAATATTGAAAATTCTCTCACTATTTAACTTACGACACTTCTTACACTGCCATTTATATATTATTCATAGGTATACAATCAAGAAGAAGAAGGAAAGCTCTCATCCCACTTTTTTAATATCATGCATCTTCATTTTCAGGAAATACAATAGGAGTTCCTTTCCAACTCTTAGATATTAAACTAAGTCGAACTTCCATTCATCATCATCATCATCCTTTCCTTAATCCCATATGAATGGGCCGGCCACATGAATTCTCTCTCTAATATTTTCTATTGCATGCCATTTCTCCCACTATGTTTAACTTTTTAAAGTCATTTTTAATAACCTCATCCCATGTCATAAGTCGGACATAATATCTTTTATAAGAACAGCTGAAGTTGATGAAACTGGAAAAAATGAAAAATAAAAAATACACCCCAATTCTTCTCAAGAGGTGATGTTTGTACATCCTTAAGGCTTAGAGTTTCCCCCTCTCAAATTTATGGGGAAAAAAAAGAGAGAGAAAGAGTAAAAGCTAGAATCATTGGTATGGCATCTAAAAGAGGAGTGGGATTAATGTTTTAATTCAACAATAAAATTAATTATGGAATAGATTGCACTAAGAGTTCCTACTCTTCTTCAAAGAGGACTCTTGCTCAACTGCATTACATTTTACACATCGTTGTTTTTTTAAATTGTTTTGATAAATAAGCAAAATCCACTTCAGTTGTTACAAATTCATTTAATTTGTTAAGTTGTCAACCTAAATATTTGATAAAATCGCATGTTCCTATTATACAAAAGAAAAAGATTTGCAGAGCTGGATTGTCTTGTCCCAGCATTAGATTCAAATATCAATACCAAATATCCAATTAATACTAAAATCCCTTAAGAAAAAAAATGCAGACATAAGCTTTGCAGCTACACAGGCTACCTCTGTATCTCATAATGCTTATGTCAAAATAGTTCAATTTATAATCTATTTCTTTGGGAAGAGCATGATACCGTAAAATTAATGAACAACTTGATCAATGCATCAAATATCACATACAACACATTCATTCATATCCATAAAACTATTATTAACAGTGTTCAGTCTTGTCCTACACAAATTACATATAATTTAACCAGAAATGTCTAGATATGGAACAAAAGACCTATATATATATATATACAAACTCACCGTAATGATCGTTGGATCTAGGGCACGTTGAATGGCGGCCGGATCACCGCCGGAATCGACGGCCAGGCGAGCGAGCTCCATCACCGGTGTCGGCGGCCACCAAATGAGTTGATTTTGTTCGGTCCAAGTCTTAGGGCGGATGGATTTGAGTTGAGGAGCGATGGAGTGAGTGGCGAGTTGAGTCGGAGACAAGGGGACGAGGAATTTGAGGCAGGACTTGAGTTGTTGGGCTTCTTTGGGGTTGATTGCCGAGGCTTGTTGTGGGGTGCCGAGGAGAGAGAGTAGGTCGGAGGCGGAGGCTTTGGGTATGGGAGGTGTTGGAGATGAATGGGATCTGAGAAAGAAGAGACATGTTGATGATGATGAATGTGATGAGGTTGTGTAAGTTGCTGCTAGAGAGAGAGAGAGGACGAAGGTGAATCTGATGGAGAGAGAGGGGTTGCCCATCTCTCTCTCTAACCAATTGTTTCGGTAAACAGAGACAGCTATCTCTCCCTACCCAAACCCCCAATCTCTCTCCCTACCCAATTGTTTCTGTAAGCAGTGACAACTCTCTCTCTCCCTACCCAATCGTTTCTGTAAACAAAGTCAGCTCTCTCTCTCCCCTGTAAGTAAACACAAAAACAGTTTTGTGTTGTTTAAATGTGGAAAAACAGGGCTTGTTTTCGCGGAAATGAAATGGTTTTATTCTTAACTGACTTGATAAATCAATCAATCAATTATGAAAAAAAATAAACAAGATTTACTGGTTGTCCAATATAATATTTAAATACTTAAATTAAAGATTGAACAAATTTCTTACCCTCTTTCTCCCGTTAAAGTTGATTAAAAATTAAAAAATTTGTAACATATTTTGTGATGAAATTAAATAATTTTGTTCTTAATTAACTTAGTAAATAAATAAAATATAAAGGATGATGAACAAGATTTACTTTGACATAAGATTATAAGATACAACAAATTTCTGGCTCTCACTTTTTCTCCAGCAAAAGTTGATTTGAAATTAGAAAATTTGTGACATATTTTTGTGGTGAAATCAAATAGATTTGCTTGTAAATAAATAAAATATGAAGAATGATAGAACAAGATTTATTTGAGGATTGTTAAATAACATGGTTATTAATCTTTAAATTTTTAAAATTGTGCCACTCAAATTTTTTTTTTTCTTGCATATGTGCCCCCTATGAACATAATTTCTGACTTTGGTTAAGACTAGTTGTAACTTTTGCATTCACTTCCTCGGCTAAAGTTTATTAGAAATTAGATGAATTTGTAACAAATTTTTGCCTTGATTTAATAGTTTTGTTTAATATAACTAATCAACATAAACAATCTCTTGCAAACTGATTTAGAGTTAGAAACTTGAGGCCTTTGAGTTTCATACGAATAGAGTTCCAATAGAAATTAATGAGCAAGATTTGTTATCAAATAATAACGTTAGAAGAATTTGTGACATATTTTTACCTTAAAATCAAATAGTTTTGTTCTTAATTAACTTGATAAATAAGTTAAAATATGGAGGATAAAAAACAACGTGTATTCGATTCTCAAATAACACACTTAAATTATAGATGTTACAAATTCTCATTCTTTTTTTCTTCAACTAAAGTTGATTTGAAAGTAGATAAATTTGTGACATATTTCTTCCATGTAAATCAAATAATTTTGTTCTTTTAATAAACTTTGTTGTTGCCATGATATTAACATGTATTTACTCAAGGATTAGTTTTTTTTTCAATAAAAAAAATAAAAATTTTTGCTAGTGGGGTCAATGGTTGAAAGTGGAGACAGAAGGCACATATATATTTTTTAAAATAAAAATTAAATTAAAACAAATTGTATTAATGCGTAAGATGTACAAAAGAAGTACAAGGCCCAGCAACCCATACGGTAGCCCAACAAATCCGAAGAGGCTATTTTTAATTGTCAGTTTCATTCTTTAGTAACAGAAATGCCAAAAATACAACTCCTCTCGTTCTCTATAACTCCAAATATATCTCAATTGAGTAGTCCAATTGATTTGTAGTAATCTAGAGAATTTGCTTCTTTTTTTTCTTTTTTTTTTTCGAAAATTAGAGAATTTGCTTCTTGCTAAATGAGATGTGTAGTAGCACTTTCATGATCCTTGTGCGAGACATTGAATGATATTTTTGATTTCCAAAAAGTTAGGATTTGACTTGATTTGAGAAATAAATATTCATTAATTATATTTCTTCCGTTTCATATTAGTTGTCCACTTCAAAAAATTTAACTAACAAAAATTTTTTTGAGTTAAAGTAATCTGCATAGACCTCTAATATGGGATATAAGTAGTATACAACAAGTATATAAAAGAAATATGACTAAAAATTATATTAAATTATTCAAAAATAAAAGATAGTAGTGAGTTAAAGTTTTTCAAATTAACAACTATTATGGAATGTAGGTAGTTGTATATTTCTTTAATTAACCCTCCTACGTCTTCTTCTTATTAAACCTTTTTTTTTATTAAATCCTACCATATTAAATATTTACTACCATATCTCAATCTCTAACTTTTTTTTTTTATTTAACTAAATCCATGCTACTCGCTCATCGTTCTCTGTATAATAATATCATTGTTTTAATCTATATATATAGTAGTATACTGCTTATTCAAGTTTTCGTATTTTGCTTTTAATTCTTTTTATATTTATTCATCTTGAATTTATTTAAGTATGTATCCTATTTTGAGTCGTGAGCTTACCAAGTCTGTATAAAAATCTAGAATACATAATTTTATAATAAAAGTCATGCTCCAATCCTCCATAATTCACACCAAATTTTTTTGTTTGGTATACTCTAATATGTTAAACTGTGTTTAAGATATTGATCCGCCGGAATTGTATAACCAAAAGTCATGCTCCAATCTTTCATAATTCACATTAATTTTTTTTGTTTAGTATACTCTAATATCTTATACTGCTTTTAACATATTGATCCACCACTACTTTTGTATTTTTGTATTTGAGGTGCCAGAAAAGTCTGTTCAATCCAACTATCCTTTATAGCAAGCATTAAGAGATTTTAAGAGAGGGAGGAAGCAGTGATCAAGTCGCTCGATTTTTGTTTGATAGCAGAAACATCACTATCTCACTGGATTACCATATAGTTTATAGATTATTATAGAGTTTTGAAGAATTGTGTTAATATGATATTATAAAGGATGATCTTACCTAATTAATTTAGTCCATTAATTAAATTAATCATAGTCATTTATGCCGCAAAGACACCATGCTCTTATTGTGTGCAGAGATGAGTAGGAAATCATGGGATTTTCTAGATTATATCATATATCAATCTCAGTATTGCAGACGTTCGAGATTATTATGGAGTTTTGAAGATATTTGTAAATATGATATTTTGTAGGATAATGCTGGGGATATTTTGTAGAATAGTTCTAGAGATTTATTTTTTTTTGTTTTACGTTTATTTATATGTAAGATTATTTATATGTAAGATATTCAAATAGAGATCAACCAAATATAAAATTATAAGAGGATGGAAATAGTAACCAATCTTTTCCTTTTTTGTTTATCCGAAACTATATTTTCAGTTAATAGAATGTGATAAACAAACAAAATGAATATCATTATCGGAGAAAATTTCACTTTCTCAGAATTTTGAGTAATAATCCCTACTAATACAATTCGTCATATCCTGCCATTGAAATTCAACATATTTATTTTCTACTTGTGTAATATTATTATTATTATTATTATTATTTTAAATAGCTAATAAAACTATAACATGGTAAACTAATTTCTTTTGGTAATAAATTTTAATATAGTAAATAAGTGCACAAAAATTCTTCACCTATAAACTTCTTTAACTAGATTGGGATAAGGTTTATTGGCCTATTCAGCAATATTTGGAACATTTATTAAAAAATTCAAATAACCATTTCCGTTCATGTACTGAAAATTTTTGCTGTAAGGGAGAAAGTTTATGTGTTAAAATTTCTCCAAAGATTTCTTCTACGAGATTCTCAAACATAGACCTTTTGGCTTAGACAATTTCAATTTGAAAATGGCCATAATATCCCAATTGGATTGATATTTGGTTGGGTCGCGTGCAAAAAACACCACTCAAATATGTTTATAGTACATATCACATTCCTCGCGTGCAAAAAATACCCCTCAAGTTTTAATTTGGTGCAATTAAGTCCCTCTGACATATTTAAAACCAAACTTGACTAAACTATCCTTAATCAACAATTTTATAAAATATATAAAAATACAAAATTTTGTAAAAAGAAAGACCACAAAATTTTATATGAAAATCAACAGTAACCTCTTTGTTTTGGACACCCATTTACAATACACCACATTTCCATCATTTCACAAACCCTAGCTCATCGTCCATCATCTGTCTCGCTTTCTTGAGAGAAAGAGACCACAAACCCTAAAGAGGGGCGCCTTCCCCGTGAATTCATCGGCGACTACGATTCGAGTTCAGTAGGTCCAAAAAGAGAGGCGCCTCGCATTCTTGAGACTGCAATTCCAGACTTCCAGCGGTAATCCAACTTCTCTCTCGTATGTTCTCTCCTCTCTTCTTCTCCGGCGATTTAGGGCTATTTTTTTTTCCCCTCTCCTCTTCTTCTTCACAACTTCTTTAGAGCACCGATTATTAGGCCATAGGTGAATTATCTTTGTCGTCATACTCATATTTATTTTTTTAATTATTATTAGGGCTCTCTTTCTCTGGTGTGCGTTTGTGAGTGCTGCCACAGTTTCTCTTGTATTTCTTCCTCCTCCTTTTATTTATTTAATTTTTTTTTTTATCAATATACATATATTTATTCCTTGCCCAAAAATTAAAAATAAAATAATGTCAAAAATAAAATTTGTTTATTTTCTCTATTCTTTCTAATACTCCACCTAAACAAAACTGTGATACCCTCGGATTTCCGAATGTGGGTTGGCCAGGCCCACGCCCGAATACCTAAGGATATCAAAACAAATTGATGATAAACGAACACAGAGTACAAAAGAATAAAGAAGAATAAATAAAATGCTGACAAGAAACTAAAATGATAATCTAATAATAAACCTCTGAATATATTTCCATTAGCTAATAAACTCTTCTGATACAACTGATCCTGCAAAATACAACTCGGGAATCCATACTGTATGGACCCCTAGAAAATCCAAACTAAACAAATGACAGCAATAACTGTCTAAATCAGGAAACTGAATCATAAAGGAACTCCTATGTAGTATCGGAAGAATGAAGTAGATTGATCCTCGCTCAGCACGAATAACCTCTACTTTTGACGAACACCTGAAAAATAATGGTGGGTCAGACCCACAAACAAGTTCTACTCTACTACAGTCCAAGCAGAGATCCGATACACGTATACATCCTAGTCAATCCAACAGTAACTAGTAGTCCGTATATATATATATATATACACACACACACACACACACTAAAGGAACCTCACTAGACTATAGGGTTGTCTCAACCTGAATAGTAGGGAACACGCAAAACGCACATATAGTGGGCATGAGTACCTAGACCTACCAGGGTACACAACTACACTATATCTAGCTACACATCCCTGGCAATATACGCACCCTAACCACTGATCCTGAGACTCAAGCTCATATCATGGTACCATACTTATATATATATAATTTAGTAACCATCCTATCCAGTATAAATTAATCCTCCATAAGTCATTCAACTTGTTCAGCTGACCTGACTTGAATATAAGTAGGACTTAATATTTTAGTTAATTCATTCCCTTATATAAAATAGGTAGGACTTAACTGATAAGTTAATCCGTCCCTAGAATACCACCGTCCCATACCGGTGTATTAAACCACATAATATAACAATTAATGTAACGATTAAGGAAATACATCAAATAATCCAGAAATAACTATGATAATATGATATCAAGTTATCACAAAATAGGAATGACTTATTATTTATTTAAGCTTCCTATATCATATGTCCTACACAAACTGAATCTTATACATGATGATATTTTATTATACCGTCAAATAAGCATTCTCGGTATCCAATTCATCCTACACATTTAATCTCAATTGCTTAAACATATTAAAAGATTAAATTCATTCGTTTGTTTAAAACATTCAAATAGTAAGCATCATTATGATTGAGTCTATTTAAATTTATTTAAACCCAAACCTAGTTTCTATTTAATGTTCAGGAATCCTAGGCATGTTTCTACGTTCCATCATTCCACAGATATGAAAAAATACATAATGTAAACATATAAAAATTCACACCGGAAATCAAATCAAAATCATGCATTTATCAATTCATAACACAAGAGCAGATATGAACCAATTTCATAAAGCCTATATTCTAATCCAATTAAACATGCATAATTATTTAATTTTATGTGTTTAATAAATCATGTAATTTCCTAGGCATGCATAGAAACACGAATCAAAGGGAAAGAAATAGAAGAAGAACTTGCTTAAACTTTCGGATCGAAAGTTAAACTTCTTCTTCCTTGATCTTCTCTCTACAAGGTTTTTTTTCCTCTTTCCCTCTTTAACTCTCTCTCTCTCTAGAATATATCACGTGAATATTTCTAACCCCCTTTTACAACCTATAACTATATATTTATAGGTTAAATAAAATAACCCTAACCCTTTTCCTAATCCAAGTCAACTTAAAAAAAATAAAATATAAAATATTAAAAAGGTAAGTAAAATATGTTACGTATATAATTTATGTATATTTTTATTAAATAAATAAATTATACACGTCCCATTATTTATTAATGGATTATCCAATAATACTTAAGTTACTATAATATTATAAAGTAACTTAAAACATAACCCGTATCAAATCTACGCATATTTTTATTATTTAAATATAAAACATATACATCAGATTAAATATTACTATCCAAGTTACCATAAAAGTAATTAATAAATTACTTTCCCTTTTATATATACTAAAAAGGTAAGTAAAATATGTTACGTATATAATTTATGTATATGTTTATTAAATAAATAAATTATACACATCCTATTATTTATCAATGGATTAACTAATAATACTTAAGTTAGCATAATATTATAAAGTAACTTAAAACATAACACGTATCAAAACTATGTATATTTTTATTATTTAAATATAAAACATATACATCAGATTAAATATTACTAACCAAGTTATCATAAAAGTAATTAATAAATTACTTTTCCTTTTATATATATTAAAAAGGTAAGTAAAATATGTTACGTATATAATTTATATATATGTTTATTAAATAAATAAATTATACACATTCCATTATTTATTAATAGATTATCCAATAATACTTAAGTTACCATAATATTATAAAGTAACTTAAAACATAACACATATAAAATTTACGTATATTTTTATTATTTAAATATAAAACATATATATCAGATTAAATATTACTACCCAAGTTACCATAAAAGTAATTAATAAATTACTTTCTTTTTTATATATGTATATAATATATATTTATATATATACATACACAACTATCCATGGGTAATAATCCATACACATCCAACCTCCTATCCAAGTAGTCCATGGGTACCAATTGGTTAGCCCATTATTACTAACCATAATCATTAAAGAAAAAATAATAATAATAATAAAAGAAAAGAAAACATTTAATTTACAGTTAATCAAAATACCATTTAATCACATAATCTAATTAAATAATTAACACATAGACAAATACAAATAATACATAGATACATAATCAAATAATTAAGTAATACCTAATTCAAATAAACACATAAGCAATTAGTCAAATAATCAATTAAAAAAAAATAAAAATACAATTAAAACAAATAAATAAATACCGAGACTATCCTTTTAAAATTAGGGGTATTACAAAAACCAATATGGATAGTGGCTTCTCTTTTGTAATTGACATTCATCATTATAATCCCCAAAAAAAAAAAAAAAATTTTATGGGCTTGTCTGGTTTGGTTTTTTAAGTCTTAGTTTTCAAAAAATTGAAAATCAGAAAACATTACAAAAAATTGTTTCATAGACAATTTTCTAAGAACAATTTTTTAAAACCCAATTAAAAAATAAGAACACAGTTGGACCAAACATGCCCCTAATTTCTTTGTTGTTGTACTTGACCAACAACTTGCAAAAGCATGACCCTCGTGAAAGCTATGATATAGTATACGACAGTACAAATGATACAACAACGAGCATATATTGCAATGTCATCAATACACTTCTCTTCTCTTTAGGTAAAAAATGGGACAAATCATAGACAACCCATTATTTCTTCACTGCACCTACACATGGAAAAGACTTTTTCAAAGTGGCCATGAATTAATAACCAAACATCACATATGATGACACTTGCTTCCCTATCTTAGCTTTCTTAATTAATACACTAATCAGTAACATCACTTAATTATCTACACACACTATTAGTCATATCACTTGATATTTTTTTCTTTGCATCGTGTGATATTTTTTTTTTCTCTGGATCATGTGAAATATATATATATTTTTACTTTGTGACAAATGGTTGATTTTGTTCTTTATTGTACATGTATGCACACTGACCATATTTTTTAGTGTCCATGCCATGCATATTTTTTTAGTGTCCTTGAGCTTTTTACTCATCATCACTAATCAACTTCCCCTGAATCCCGAGTCAAGCTGGATCATAATTTTACTCATTCATTCTTAGTGGTGTTGTGTATTTTGTAACTATTTAGTAGATTGAGACAAGTCATTTACTTCATCAGCATCATTCAGGCAATTTCGATAAGCATAACGAATATGTTGGAGGTGACTTGCAGTTGTCTGATAATGTATAATGTGGACCCTGATACAATGTCATATTTTAAAGTTCAAGGCATGCTGAAAAGTCTTCATTTGAAAGTGGCTTAATTTGCGGAAGGTTAAACTGGGTTTTGTTTAGGATGATGGTTGATGTATCACGGCTTTACTTTTTGAAGGTGCATTGGATGCTTTAGATGTAATGTTTAGTGAATGCTTGATTTTTTGTCAGTAAGGTATTCATTTGTATTACTGGGTTTTTATTTTACTGAAAGTGGTGCATTTGCTGAAGGTGAAATTAGGTTTGCACTTATTGAATGGTTTGATGAATGACAGGTTAGATGAACACATTACTATAGGTGAATGTTTAGTGATAACAAATATTCATTCATATCAACTTCGGAAAATATATATATATATATATATATATATATATATATATATATATATATAGTTGAAGCATTAAAGTTGAATGCAATAGTACATGAATAGATTTCCTCCAGGAACTCAAATAATAGATTCACATCACTACTTTGAGAAATATAATACAGGTTAAGAAGCCAAAGTAAAAAATGCCAAACAAACCACAACACATTCTTGCACAATCGGATTTCTTGTTCTGGGTTAGGAGCCATATAAATTTCAAATCTTCAAAGGATTTCCAACTTAACAATGGCAATAATAATCTTTCAAAGCTCTTCCGTATGAGTAAGAATGGCTTTTTGAGATTAAGAATGGATTTTTGAGGTTGAAGAGGTTGAAGATTCCATGTAAAAGAGAGAAATATAGAGAGATACAGTGCTGAGAAATGCTATAAGTAATATATAGTGAAATTTTTTATTAAAAATATATATATATATAAGGTAATGTGCACATAACACCCCTATAGTATGAGATTAATAAGATATTTACCTTTTTGGGCATTTTCGAAAGATTAAAAGGGTAAAATGGGTATTATAACAATAATTTATGGGCGTTTATTGCACGGCTAATTTTGCACAATTTTAAAATATTAGGGGTGTTTATTACACACTTTTTTAAATAAGATAAAAATACAGCGAAAGTTTTAAGAGTGTTTTCTATCCTTCCCCCATATTTGGTTACTTTTCCGCGATATACATGGTAATTGTTAAGAGTGCTGAATTGATGATATGTTTTCCAAAAGCTATATTTGGCTACTTTTCCTTTGCTTAGCTATTGTTTTGGCTGTATTTATGGTGTTTGGAAATAGAGATATAGTGGGGTTTTAAATTCTGTCTCTTACTCTCCTTTACTAGCATTGCTGCAACATGGAAATTGCCAACCCAGTTATTAAGTCTTCATCCTCATTCCAACTCTTCTAGGTTCTTGACTAATTTTGGAGCTGTGATTGATGGATGATCCTACTTGGTTTTTTCTTTGCTCAATTTTGTTTTAAAGATCTTGTTAGCTTGTGGTTTTGAAACAAGCTTGAGCAAAGATTGTGTTTTTATAAAATTCAAATATTTGATCACACAATATAATAGGAAATTCTATAAAAACTTCGTGATTGATAACACCACGCTGTTATGGACATTATTATAACGACATTCAATTCAGAATCAACCTAACAAAATTTAAAATATATTTGACGAACTAGAGTTCCACAAGTATATAAAGATTTTTACACACACATTTCACTCAACCAAAAAAGAAAAAGAAAAAGATAAAGAAATATTAAGTTCAAAACAAATCACCAAACAAATAGCCTAAAAGCTATAACATTCAGCAATTTCCTGCACATGTATTATATCATATGACGAGAGATGAAAACATCAATGTGCAACGACAGCCCCCTCACCTCCAGTGGAAACCAAAGTTTCAGACTCGGCCGGGCTAGCACTGAATACTTTCGCGATCTTCTCAGTGGGCACCAAGGGAAGATAATCCGAAACCTTGTACCCTTTCTCAGCAGTACAACGCACGGTGTCATTGTACTTCTCGGTACAGTAAGCGGCCGTTGGGAGTACGACTTGAGCCACTTGAGGGAAGAGGGGTAGGCGATTGAGGGAGCGCCAAGCCGACACAGCATACTGCTCAGCAACTGGCTCGTACTTGGTGTAGAGATCCTTGGCAGTAGGCTCACACTTGGAGTAAACTGTTTTTGCAAATCCTGAGGCAGTGTCCACCACGCCGGCTCGCTGAACTTCGGAGGCCACAGCACGAGCAGCTGATGGAGCCTTCTGAGCAGCTGAAAAAGCTTGGGTTGACACCTGCTTTGCCAACACGGGTACATGACGTCCCACCTTGTCAATGGACTCGTCAACCTGCAACCATATCAGTAACAGGCACAATTTTCAGACTTTTACAGAAGTAAAATGCGGCAATCAGCCCAACACATGACAACTTTAGCAAAATCAATTCCACCCTGCTACTAAAGAAGAGAGCATTTGACCGTTCACAAAAATTAGAATCAGCAAAATTCTTAGGAAGGTGTTTTTAGTGACATAACTTTGATGATCATTGTCATGGCTTGCCAATGAGTGTTAGGTCTAAATTGAAACGATTATTCTACAAATAAGTAATATAAATGGAATTGCATGCAGCTGTGCCATATCAGCATGAAAAAAAAGAAGAATCAAGAGGCCATAGATTTGAACAGATCTTTTCAAACCATCCAAAAATCAAATCCAATTGAATTCGACCAAGATCACACTAATTTGTCAAATTGTCAAGCTTGATTGAGGCACTAACACACTTATGCATCACGCTTATATGGCACATATTGTGAAACCAAATGACAAACCACCCTAACAAATTGGACCAATGATTGACACTAAAAAATCAGTGCATTAAGTTGTCAATACTCATATAACATCATTCTATGGATAATAACTAGCCCAGCAATAGATATATATATATATATATATATATATATATATATATATATGTCCGTGTAATATATATAATATACAAAATGAGACAGGATGGTTATTATGTCAAGTAAAATCGGAAGGCAGTTTCCAAATCTTAATTCTTCTTTGGTTATAAGATTTCTAAATTTCTGAAGATACAAGACAATTAGACAAACCTTGCGATCAACTAGCTTGAGGAGTCCGATGGGGACATCATGGAACTTATTGTAAACAGGACCCACGACGGTCTTAACAGTACCCTCAACACTCTGAACACCAGGCTTCAGAGGCCCAGAGTTGTCCTTTGCATAACCATAGAGTCTCGAGAAACACAACACCGCGTGCAGGGTAGCAACTTGAACAAACTCCAGGTACTTGAGCCTTTCTTCTTCTGTCTGCATATACAATCTCGAAATCAAATCAATCTCATATATGATATATATATGTATTAAGGAAAATTTTCCAACAATCAGTTTCAGTCGATACAAACAGAGTGGCAAAGGAAATTCCACATGGAATTTCAAAAAAAATTAAAAATTAAAAATTAAAAATTAAAAAAAAACCCTACCCTTATCACCATGGGAAAATATAGGGAAACACAAAAGAAATTGGATTCATCATGAATTGATATATAATAGAGAGAAAAAAACATAAATATAAATTAGAATCTCAATGTCAGTCTCCATATACAAAACACACACACATATATATTCTGAAAAAAAATTCCAACTGTCCAGACAAAAAGAGTGGTAAGGGAAAAGGCATGCAAATAATACTACTAAAACTTAAAAATTGGAACCCTAACTCTCATCGACAACTAATTATAGGGAAAGAAAAGAGAGATTAGAACCCTAATTTATCATTGATCAGGATTTATTTTGTCATAAGCCATTGATCATGAATTGATAGTGATAATACCGGGAAAAAAATCCATATAATCTCAATATGACTTATATTGAGAATGAATTTCCAATTATCAGTTTTAGTCGAGACATACAGATGGCATGAAATTACAATAAATAAATAAAATCAATTTAAACCCTAACTCTTATCGCACAGGAAAAATATAGGGAAACAGAAGAGAAATTCGACTCATAGTGAATTGATAGCGATAACAGAGAAAAAAAACATTCATATAATCTCAATACCAGTCTTTGACACACACATAGAAGAAATTTCCAATAATCTATTTCTTATGGACACCGACTAATAGGGAAAGAAAAGAGAAATTCAAACCCTAATTTACATAGATCGTGATTTTTTATTTTTAATTTTATTATAAGCCATTGATTGTGAATTTATAAAGATGATAAGAGAAAGAAAAAAAAATGGAAAGATCAAAGATGAAATTGGTTTAGTCGTACCATCTCTGGATGAACTATTGGGCTTGTTTCGGCCATGATCGCAAAATTCTGAGAAGCTATTTGATCAGAAACGCTAGGAATGAAATAGTGTGAAAAGGTCTAATTGATGTATATAATAAACGAGTGTGTGTATGTGTGGGTATATATATAGGCGATACAGATACGCAGCGAAGATCTGGAAGAAGTGGACGGCTAATCGGCTATGGTGGGAAACCGTGTGCGATATATCGTAACGGTGCGTTTGTTGCTGACTAATTCGAACCTTCGAGGCGAAGTTAAAACTTTTTGTTGGTTGGAAACAATTTGAAGAACCCACGCGCCTTAGATGAGCGTGAAAATGGCTTAGAACAAAGGTTGAGTGAAATGCACGCGCTTTGGAGGAGGGATGGCTTTGCGTTTTAGAAGAGTTATATATGGTCGACTTGACTCTTGTGGACCCATTATGGGTGTTTCTTCTTTCCATTTTTCTTCGTAGGGATGCAAATTTGACACACAAAAGACTATAATTAGGGTCTGGGATAAGTAAGCTATAGTCATTTTATTTGTTTGTTTGTCAAAAAAAAGTCATTTTACATTAAAAAAAAAAAAAAAAAACTCGTTGCAGCAACACATGTACAATAATCAAACCTAATTGATTCACATTTGTGAGGTTGGTCCCTATGAGAAGTAAAAATTTGATGCTGCTGAGCCACTTTTCGTTAAATATGCTTAGAAAATATAAGATATACTATGATATTATTTTATATTTTCCAACCATATACCTTAATTTATTTATTTTTAAATTTAAACATATATTTAAATTTTAAACATATATTCAATTCTTCTGAAATATTTATAAATACATATTTAACAGGTTTTGAATATTAAAATGTAATTTTTTTTAACGATAATATCATAATATAATTGTAAAAAAATAGAGTTTAAAATTTATTTTGAAAAGAAGTATTGAATATTGAGATATATATTGTGATTTAGTTTAGAATTAATCTATGCAATATAACTCTTAACACTTATTTTATTTGTTAATCATAATATTTATGAAAATATTAATTACAATATATATAAAACATAAATAGTTATTATTTAAATTTATCCACAAATGCCTATATATTAGTTTTCATAAATATAGAATTCTTGCACATTTGAATACTACTTTTAAGCAGCCTCGATAACCCAGTGATTAATGTCTCCGGTGAATTTTAAAAATTCCAAACTTTAACTCTTTGCATGTACTAATCTAACTACTAACCCTTCTTACCTATGTAAAATAATAATAATAATAAAAAATATTACTTTTAAAATTTTTGCATATTCGATTTATACACCTAACCATTTGTCTTTACTACTTTCCAATCCTGTCAAAAGCATCCTTGAAAAATCCAACCTATATCCTACCAACTTGAGAAAGTGTAAAGACTAAAAGGGACAAAAATATTCTTTCAATAAAATATATGCCAAAAAAATTATTAGTTGCCAATTGGCAAGGTATGATACGTTTCTCTCAATCCAAAATCCTCATAATGAGAATTTTGTGGAACAAAAAATAACTAATCCATAATGAGAGTCATCCACAAGATAGATTTCCTTTATTAATACTTAAATTTAAATGTGATTTTCTTTTTGTGATACATAGGGATTTAATGATCATCCATTTAATTCTCTTGAATTGATACTTGTGAGTTTTTGTATTTTTGGTGTGAGTTTTTGTATTTTTGGTGATGGGGTACATTTATATCTCTATTTGGAATATTCATTTTCATTTTACTATATGAATCTTTATTTTTATCTCATATGAATTAATTAGCCATATGAATCTTTATTTTCATTCTCTTTTATGCTACAAGTTATATAATCTATTATATTTTATTTTCTTAAATTATTTTTAATTACTTAATCCTATTAATTTTTATCCCCCCTTTCTTTCTTTGTCAACTAACGCTCCCCTACTTGTTTGGATTAAGAAAATTTAACGCTCCCTTTGATCAGAGGGATGAAAAAAATATTATTGGAGGGATGAAAAATATTACATTATTGGTACATTCAACCAATAAAAATAGACCATCAAAATAAAGTGATTGAATTTTTTAATAATTTACTAAATGATTATGTAGCGTGTTTCTATTGGGTGGTTGTACCAACAACATCGTACATTCATTGTACATCACTTTTGTTAAGTTGAATGGATCTTATAACTTTTTTCTTATTTAGTTGGGAAGTAATGAAAAGGCAGTATATTCTTTTTACAAATATACTCTTATTATATATACCATTATAAAAATTAGATATTCATTTCATAATTTTGGGAGCTCAAAAATGAAAATTACATATTTGTGTTGTTGGTAGATATCCTTTTTAATCTCCTTCCTTCTCTCAATGTTAAGTTGATAGAAAAATACTCAGAGCTCATGTTGATATGTTGGCCAAGTGGTTGGGTTGCTCCTCGTATTCGAGTCTTACACCTTCCCATTTTCCTTTAACAACTAACTTTTAATATTCTTGCCATAAAAAATGAAAAATAAAGAGGGATGCTTCATTCCTTCTTACTTCCTCCTCATCCATCCTTGAATCAAACATAACATAAGAGAATAGAAAAATGGGAGAGGATTGGAAAAATAACCCAAGAAATGAAAAAGTTATTCCATCCCCCTCTTATCTCATATTTGTTTTAAAACATGACAGGAAAAGGAGATGAATAGGATGGAAGAGGAATAAACAACAAACGTTTTTTTTATATAAAAAATATAAACAATAGGAAAATTAATGAAATTCCTATTTTGTACTTAATATTAACTAAATAAAACATTTGTTTTTGTTCACTATCATTTCCATATATGATTTATGTTGTTACCATTGTCATTTTGTTTCTTTGGTTATTATTATTTAAATTCAAGAAGAGATTAAAGTGATGTCTGAAATTCCAATTCAACATTTAATTCTGGATGATTTATGATTTGATAAGTTTCACTTAAAATATGGTAAACTAATTGAGTACATTTGATAAGCCCCATTTAAAATATGAAATATGGTATAAAATATTAAGTGAACTTTTAATATATATATAATTATTTACTTTTAATTATCACTAAACAACTTCACCACTCAAAATTCAAATCTGCTCAATTTTCAATTTTACTCAACAACAGGCTATGATTATTGTTAATGTTTCATTTCGTTAAATATTTATCCCCATGGAATAACAAGTATATTATGCAACAGAAAATAAAGGTGCAACATTTCCTTTGGCAGTGTTGTCATCAAGCGCTGCCCACTGCGGGTTCCTTGTTGGTGCGGGGCTGTGATGTGTCCTCGTTGTGGGGAACAGGAGGAGAATGTCGTGTATCTTTTTATTCATGTGCCCTCACTCATTGCCGGAAAAGGTTGTGAAAAGAGTTGTGGCGAGTTTTTGGAAATTTCAGGAAGGCTGGCCTCATTGTTCTGCTTTACGCCCAATTTCGAGCCGTCTATTGGTGGGTTTTTGGGTTTTGCCTCAATCTAGAAATGTTAAATGTAACTTTGATGCTTCTTTTTGTAGGGGTTCGTCCATAGGTGGGGGTGGAGCGATTTTTCGTGATTTTCGTGGTATAGTTCTTCATGCGATTATTTTCCGGCAGTTTCCTGCGTCTTTGGCTTTAGCTACAGAGGCTGTTGCTTGTCAGCGTGCGGTGTTTTGGGCTTCGGCTTTGGGTTTTAATTGTGTTTGGTTTGAATCTGATGCTAAGTCTGTCGTTGAAGGGGTGCTGAATAAAGATGCGTCTCCTGTTGAAATTACTTCTCTCTGTTTTGATATTCGCGCGGGATTTGCAGGTTTTTCCATTGGCATCTTTGTCTCATGTTTGTCGTTCCAGCAATAGGGTTGCTCATGCATTGGCCAAACTCTCTTTACCTTCGTTCTAGGTGGATCACGTGTTATCGTTGATACCTTCTTCAATTTTACGCCTTGCTATGGAGGATGTTGGGGGTTGTTTTTGCTTTTGTTTTGAGCCTTTTGGCTCAATTGTCAGGAAAAAAAAAATATATATATATATATATATATATATATATATATAGCACTCAGTAATTTATTAATAGTGGAATATATTTATTACGTAGAATTGTTTTTTGAGTTAAGTGCAAAAAACCCCCCCCTTATATATAGGGTTTGTGTAAAAATAGTTCATACTCTTTAAAAAATGTGCATTTCAGTCCATAAAATTTAAAAAAAGTTGCAAATAAGCTCCTCTGACCACTTTTTAGTTAAATTTGATATAAAATAAATTCAAAAATCCTATTTTGCCCTTGGGTCAAGTGCAAAAAATCCCTCTACTATCGGTATAGTGCAAAACAGTTCATGTGTGGTATAAAACCCCCATATACTATCAATTTGGTGCAATTACCCCCTGTTCGCATAAAAATACATTAATACCCTCTCTAATATAAATGAAATAATATTAAAAAAATTAGACAATGTAAAATTACCATTTTAGATAATTTATTCCTTTTTTTCCCCTTTGTATTTGGCTGATTGATTTGATAAAGGGTTCAGAGGCGCCCGAAGTGATGGAGGGATAGGAGGAAGGGGCTTCGGAGGAGGAAGAAGCCTTGGAGGTCCCAGAGGTGGTGGCGGCTTTAAAAGTTGTGGTGGCGGTAGAGGTGATGGAGGGAGAGGAAGGGGCAGCGGTTAGTGTAATTTTCGAATAAGAAGAAATATTTGTATATATATGACAAACTTAATAATCATGCCTCTCTTTCTTGTTCATTTAGTTATTTTTTGAATTTAAGGTCATATTTGGACTTCACATTTTTGTTTATTTTTTGTTTTGTTTCCTCTTATGGCCTTTTATTTCTGGACTGGTCTATTGCTTTGGCCCGAATGGTTCTGGGCTTCTTGAAGGGCATGGAGTATGCCCCATTTATATTTGTATATTTTTTTCATTTATTTTATTTATCAAAAAAAAAAAGAAAAAAAATTCAATGGTAGTCAGAGCAAGAGAGAGAGAGAGAGTGTGTTCCACAACCATTTTCTATTATTTTGATACATTTCATAATATACAAGAAAAAGTACTTAGGACAAGGAAAAAAAAAAAAAAAAAAAAGAAATAGTTTTTTGAATTGATTTTATGTCAATTCTAACCAAAAAGTGGTCAGAGGGGCTTATTTGCATCTTTTTTTGAATTTTATGGATTGAAATGCACATTTTCTAAAAGTAGGGACTATTTCTGCACAAATCCTATATATCAAGGACGTTTTTTGCACTTAACCCTGAAATTTATAT